CACACACACACGCATACACACACACGCACACACTCACACACTCACACACACACACTCACTCACACACACACACACGCTGAGCAGAGGGCACATGGATATTTATGGACACTCATGGAAAATTTTAAAGTCAGCTTGGCAGTCACCTTGGTGATTTGTCGTTGATCCTGATTCCCTCCACTCATGAGATCCTGATTTTTAGGTTTCAATAGAGTGGCAGGTCTACCCCTATCCTTCTTTATCAGTAGTCATGAAATGCCCGCCATTTTTTTTTTTACTTTGTAAAAAAAATCGGAAGCCTGGAAAGACTGGAATGTGAACTCTGTGATGGCTCTAAAGAATAATGTATCAATTTATTTTCTTTGTGTATTACCTTTTGGTTTGTCAACTTTATTTTATTTTTTGATTGGCCAAACCACCACCAGCCCCCCTTCCAAGTGAACACAACTATAATAATAATTCTAGGCAAAATTACTCATTTATTTTTTGTTGTTATCTTGAAACCTTACTGTTAATTAAAAACCGTTACCATTCAATCATAGTCATGGTCCCTTTGTGTGTGAATGTGCGTGTGAGTTAAATGTTTACATGCAAAAATTCTTACTATGAAATTAGGAGATAATTGAATTTTCAGGATTAGTTTGTCAGGCGTACAGAAAAGAAAAGCCAACAACCCTTTAAGTTTCTAAACCAAGGGTTTAAATACCCATTAAGATAGAAAACCAAAGGGTGAAGAAACCTCTTAATAAGTTGGCCTGAAAAGGGGAGCTCTGGCACAGACACAGGACAAGAGTTAACATTTGTGTCTACAGCTGCAGCAAACAAGTGTATGCAGTCAACCTTAATTGATTATACTATTTTTGATTCATCTCACATGTTAAAATGTTTTTTTCATGTTTTAATTTGTCATGTAAATGATCAATTACTGTCTTTATCTTTGATCTTTGATGTAAAAGTGGATCGGACTGTATTCATAGCAGCTGATGCAGATCCCTCAGGCATTATCGAATGCCAACTTGTGATTATTTTTCTGCACAGTACGGTGCAGTACTGTTGATCACAGCTTATTCCTACCAATTAATATTAATGAAGGTACTGTCTGCCAGTCACTGGCAAGATTTGCATTTGGATTCACAAGCGTCTGTTTTCACTATCTCAGAGCCTGTCATATCCCATCTCCTTTGTTGATTATTTACATAGTATGCTGTAAAAATGCACAAGCCACGGTAAGCATATTGTTTATTAATATGTGTGTGCCCTTTCAGAAAGATACCAAAAGTCGCCCAGACCGTTTCGAGCTACGGGCTGGTAAAGACAAAAATTATTTTTTGACCAAAATGTGTTTCCATAAAAAAATGATAGATAGATCCTACATTTTTTTACAATGTGCTCAAAAGGTTTTCATTGATTTGAATTCTAAATGATTTATTTTGAATTATTTTGAGGGAAGAGTATTGTAAAAACATATAATGAAATCTGCTTTTAAAAGGTGTTAAAATCTATTGTTGAAGCACGTTTTCTCTTCCCTGCTATGTTTTACCATTGAATTCCATTCATGATATCGATGTCAACTGAATGTAAAAAAAATGGAAATGAAATACAATAAAAAATCGTTTTTTAAAGTTTGTATGTGTTCTCTCTCACGCTCGTTTAACTTAAAAGCTCATTTTCTCAAAATTATATTTTTACACCCTACCTCGCAAAATGTGCAATATCTCAAAAAGTACTTGAGAAATCTAAAAATTTTTTTACAAAACTGTGTTTAGCATTGAATTTCCTATAAGTTACAACCCTTTACTCAAAATGGTCAAAATTCGACTTTTGGTACCTTTCTTTAGGCACACACATCTATTTGCTGGCATTTTGAGGTGTGAATGAGAGTAGTCCATTTAACTCACATGCACATTCACACAGACACACACCCAGAGTGACCATGACTTTGATTGAATGGTAACAATTTTTTAATTATAACTGTAAGGTTTCATTGTAATAACAAGAAATACATTAGTAATATTGACTAGAAATAGAATTGTGTCCACTTGGAGGGGAGGGGGGGAAGGGTGGTGGTGGTTGGGGTAATAAAAAATCATTGACTCAGCTAGGGGATAGAGAAGGGGGGAAATGGTGCTTGCCAGACGCACACCACCTATGTTTTAAAGCGTATGCAAACCCCCGAAACGAAATTTTAAAGACTAATGCTCATTCTCCACCAAAACTTAGAGGGGTAATCTGCAGGGTTAATGCGTAATGAGGAGCCCTGTGCCACTTCCCCCCCCTGCCCTTTTTATTTTATTACACTAAGACAGCCACCTGTCTAAGCTGGCCACTTTTCTCCTTAATTGTGAGCGGCTGTCTTAGACATTTTTGACTGTATTTGTATTTTTGCACACTATCAGAATATTTTGTACATGTTTGCTTTTCTTTTCTCTTCTCTTCTCCAGCTCTTTGCTATTGTGGTGTTTGGGTGCATCTCCTCAGGAGGATGGTATGGTCACAGGTGTATCATGAATGGTGACGACAATGCCTGTGGTTACGGTACAGGCATAGGTGTATTAGCATTCCTAATATGCCTAGGATTCCTCATTGTTGATGCATTCTTCGACAATCTGAGCAGTGTACAGCACCGGAAATATGCTGTCCTTGCTGACCTTGGTATATCGGGTAAGATTTGTGCTTTTGCTGTGAAACAAACCTGTTCTTTAATTAAAATAATTATAAGAGAAATAATTTATTTGAATTAGGGTTAGAGAACTGTTGACTGTGGAACTTTTGGCGGAGTGATAAAATGTATATTATTTGGGTTTCAGTCCAGAGCTGCACTGTTCTGATGTTGTCTTTGTTCTAGCTGTGTTGCACTATGCGACTGTCACTGCTCTTGCTGTTGTGTGAGTGTTTTTGTCTGTTTATTGTCAGTGTTATGAATTCTTGAAAAGTCATTTCATAAAGAAAAAAAGTTTGATAAGTATTACTCATTTAATCAAGTAAATGTATGTAAAAAAAAAAATTACATTGAAGCAAGTGTGTTTGTGTGTGTTTTGGGAGAAGGTGGAAGGTTTAATCCTACTTCTTTCCTCTCTTTCTCTGTCTCTCTGTTATTTGTATGGTAATGATGTTCGTCTTTTGGTGGGGGGGGGGGGGGGGGGGGGGGGATTGTTTTGAAAAGAATAATTTTTATGATCCTAATTATGTTGCCTGGTTTTTAACTTAAAATTACTAAATCTGGAAAACTGTAAGAACTTTTTCCTTTTCTGAACTAGTGGCCATCTGAGTTCAAATCTTTCATCTGAGTTCAAATCTTTCATCTGAGTTCAAATCTTTCAGCCTGAAACTATAGGGGGAAAATGGGATTCAATATATGTGAAACTATGGAAGATGATATCCTCCCCAAATCTAAGCAAGTAAAAAATGGATGCCCCTGGACATACTAAAAGTACAAGAACAGAGTAGACAGGACAAAATCAAATGTGGAAAAGTATAATGCTTTAAATTTGGAAATAAAAGAAGTATGTATAGAAGGAAACATTGATGAATGATCATGTCAAGAGAAACAATCAAAATAAAGATAGCGAATACGTGTATTTCAAAATCAAAGAAGTGGAGAAAAAAGGATGCTGAAGTAAAAGCTGCTTGAGATCTAAAACAGGTAATATTTTAATAATAGACAAAGGGAATGTTTTAAGCACATGGTCAGACTGCATAAAATTGTTAAATTAAAGGTTAAAAAAAAGGAGAAAAACAGGTTATAAAGTGCACGAATGGACCACCAGTTCTGACAGAAAAAGTACAAGCCGAAATTTAGAAATAATGAAACAAGGAAAAACTACAGGATTTGATAATCTTCCAGTTGAAGTGGTTGTCATAGCATCGCCTCAGAACTATTTTGTCTAAAGTGTACTTAAATAAAGAGGCACTTGACAAAATAGTTCTGAGGCGACAATATTAGAAAAATTAGGTATTGAAATAAAAACAAACTCTGCAATTCTATAATAAGATTCCCAAAACTGTGATAGTGGGTGGTTGGCAGGTGCCCTGGTGTGGTTTGCTTAATTCTTTCCTATCAAATATCTATCATCCTTTTTTGTGATTGTTACTCTCTTGTAACACCTATTTTTTTGCCCCCCCCCCCCAGGGCAGTGCCACTGACTATAGTGTCTTTAGGCCATTTCCAAAGGGGGGACATTACTCCTTCATGCACAGTAGAATTGTAAGTGGGCTGATTCATCATGTCACGCTCATAAGTGTGCCTGATTTACAACAGGGAACTGCTGCTTTTTCTTTCCTAATCCTTACTCTTTAAACCTTATGAATCAATAAGAAAAAACTTTTGCTTTGAGTTCTAACAAAGAATGAGAAAAGGTTGAAGACCAGAGATATATATTTCAATTACAATTTGGCTTTTTTCCTGACCAGAATACCTGAAGTGCTATATTTACCCTAACAGTGTTTTGGAAAGATGTATTGAAACAGAATGATCTTTACTATGCTTCTTTGATTACTCAAAGGCTTTAAAAAAATTTGGACTCGATGAACAATTTATTCACTTCCCATATATGACCTTCTGCTCGGCTGTTACTCTCGGATCTATTCACTCATGGTAGCTTGGTAAAAAAGTACAAGTGAATTTGAATCTCGCAGTAAGGGTCCATCGTAGAAATGACTTTCCTGTTTAGAAGGCTGGAACTCGTACACAAAACAGATAGTTTGAGTTGTTTTAGTTTTCGTTTTGCTCACTGCGTCCTCTGTGAAAAGTCAAGCAACATTATTGCCACTCCAGTATGGGTTTTTTTTTGGTGAAGTTTTTAATCTGTTTTTATAGAGCTTCATGTTTCAAATCATCCCGATGAATTATTCTCCTTTTGTGTCAAGAATGAGTTGCATGCAAATGGGAGGCATCATGGTGAAAACAGGCGCTTGTCAAAATAATGAGTTCGCAGAAATCAGCATTTTTCCGCTGGTTTTGCAATTTTTGTCTAATTTTTGTTTTTTGACTCCACACCTTCTATTGTCATTAAAAACATATTTCTGAGTGGATTTTACTGAAAAGGGTTGGTTTTTGGCACGAAAAAGTACATTTTCAGTTTCCAAGGACTCTTAGGTTTGAAACCAAGCAACCCCACTTCCTTCACTCTTAAATAATGCAATTTTTGTTCAAGATATATAGGTATTATTTTCATTGAAAGCTGGAAAAGTCAACAGGCTTTAAGATAATGCCATTAATCCGCATTTAAAAAATTTACGAACTTCTTATTTCACTGCGTCGTGACACAAATGTCTGTTGTTAATATCCTTTTTATATTCATGATTTTTTGTTTTTGTTCTTCAGGCCTGTGGACATTTTTATGGTTTGTGGGTTTCTGCTACTTGACTGATGCTTGGCGACGCACGGACAAAGACTCAGTGAAGCACGGTCGGGACAATGTCCAAGCTGCCATTGCATTTTCCTTTTTCTCAATTTTCTCCTGGGTGAGTGTTGTGATCTTGCTGGAATTAAGTTTATAGAAATTGATTCATAGACTCGATTATACCTTAATTGTTCTTTTAAGACTATTAAGAAGTTTCTCATCTGTGCTTTAAATAATAAACAAGTGCTTGTATGCCTGCGAGAACTTTTATGGGGCTAATGTTGCTTTAATGAATTGCAGACTAAAAACATTATGGTTCCTTAATTGTTTTTTCCAGTGCTCTCTGCCTAAGATCCTGGTCATCAGGAGATAGAACAAGTGGGTTTGGGAGAACATAAGAGCTGCACACTTAAAAAAACAACAAACTATCAAAGCCACGCACTACCAGATCTGCGCTCTTTTGGACGATATCGATTCAATTAGATTGCTGATTACCAAATCCAATACCCTCCAACAATTTATATCACCTCTGCATTTTACTGGGCTCGGGTCTCTCATATTTGTTTGCCTCCCTACAATCTTTGATGGTCTCTCATTTACTTCTTCAAGAACGGCTCTCTGAACAGATTGTCGAGCATGAAGCAAACGTTTGTCTTTGTCTGCTATCTGCTCATGTTTGTGTATGATGTGTTGTCGTGACAAGATGATTTTCTCAACGTTCGTCTTCGTCCGAACTTTGAGGACTTGTGCGACAACGCCAATTAATGTGAAAGCTAGCCCTTCTGTCGACCCTGAATTTGAAGTTTGCTATGAAAATGCCGTCACTATCCATTTAAGTATTTAAACTCTCCAGCCATGTGTCAGTTATGGTGATTAAGAGCGGAATGACACTACAAATACTCGTCGTGTCTGTCGTACTCATCGTGTCTGTCGTCGGGTAGTAGTTCACCACTTATCTGAGTAATGGTCATTTTTGGCACTCCCACTGTACTCTTAGGGCTTATATGAAAATAGTACGAAGTAATTTTTCCAAGGAGACTGAAACCTTTGTATGGAATCGGCAGTCTAGTTGTATCGATATTGTCAAAAGTGTGTGGCTTTGATAGTTCTTTTTAAAAACTGCGCTGCTATGATAGTTTCCCATGGGTTTTTAGTAGTGTTGGGTCAGGCTCGCAAAATTAGCGTCTGCGAGTAACAAACTACTCGCTGGCACTACCCGCAAACGAGCGGACGGGTAACGAACCATCCGTTTATGAAGAGTAGTTCGTTACTCGCTACTCGCTACACATCAGACAGAGACAACAGTTCGTTTAGCTAGCGGGCTGACGGGCGGAGGGAGAGATTCGAGCGGGCGGACGGACGGACGGGAGCGACTCCTTCCATTGCATACAACTTACAACCCCCCCCCCCCCCAAAAAAAAATTTTTAATTAAAAAATCACCCTCCTGCCTCACATTGTAGCTAGGCGTTCCTGGCGGGAACCCTCCCCGACCTTTGCGATAATTGGAACATACAGGGTGTTCTCCACGCACGAGGTGAAAGGTTACACACATAGTACTACGTCACCAGCCTCTCTCACTCCCTGTGGCACCGCTAGTGGTTTGAAACATTAGGCCTAATTAACAAACAATAGACAATGGGCCTAACCTCGCGGCGAGTATCTCGTCTGCTTGAGTTCGTCCGTTTGCCCGCCCGCCCAGTGAATAAAATTGTGGAGCGGACCCAAAAAACGAACTGGCTTGAGGTCCGCAGTCTGCTCGTTGAGAGAGTCAAATTGTGGAGCGGACCCAAAAAACGAACTGTTTTGAGGTTCGTAGTTCGCTCTCATGGCCGTCCGTTACCCGCTCACTCTGACTGAGTCCGCGAGTAACGAACCCGTCCGTCCGCCCGCCCCAACTCTAGTTTGTAGGCAGATTTAAAGGGACACAATTCAGCTCCTTCCGGTTGGTGGGTGCTCTGGTGTGGTTTGCTCCTTCTTTCCTATCTTTTTTATGTATGTTACTCTCTTGTAACGCCTCTAATCTTCGGCACTTAATTGACCTTATTGTGTTGCAAGTGCCGTAAAACTTTTACGAAAAACTAATCCTTCCAGTTGCATTTCTTTGATTATTCAAACATGAAGCAATGACGTGGTGGCGATACTGCTGCTTGGGGCAAGATAGATAAGTTTTTAAAATCAGATGTTTTTATGTGTTCACATGTAGGAGTGGTGTGTGTTGTTTTGCATGCAAGTGTAAAACCAAAAGCTTCAGAGTGAACTTTTGTGGTTAGTTGGCGGGTGCTCTGGTGTGGTTTGCTCCTTCTTTCCTATCGAGCATCTATCGTCCTTATCTCCCCTCATTCTATTTTGTGTTTGTTACTCTCTTGTAAGACCTCTAATATTCCTGTAAGGACTTCTCTGTTGACATCCACCCTTTGGCGCTCATATGTAGTTGCGAGCGCCTTAAAAACCTCTACTAAAACTAAAACTCTAATATTCAGCACCTTATTGTGTTGCAAGTACCGTAAAACACTTACTTTTAAAAAAAGTGAATTTTTACTAATGATAATATAATAATGGGAATTTATATAGTGCCCAGTCCCAGAAAGCTCTTTAACTCATTCACTATGCCGAGCTGTGGGCAGCGGCGCGGTGAAAGTGTCTTCCGTACGCCAAGCCACCCCCGACGGCTCGAGAACCGACCTATAATTCTAGCTTGGATTTTGTTCCAATCCACATAACCATGTTAAAATAAAGGTTATAATATAACATTGACTTCCGGGTTAAGTGATTCCACCTAGAATCGAAAGTTTAGATTCAGTTTTGAAACACTATTCCAAAGTCTATGCGAATTTGTTTTATCGCGATGCCCAAATTATAGCCCAGACACCAGTCTTAGTACTTAGAAACAATAAAATGTATCGTTATTTTGCTCACTAAACAGTGCTTCCACTCTTCCGTATTTTTACGAAAATCCGTACTTTCTGCTAGTTCCGTACTTGTCCCTCCATCATCATCAACTCCCTCCGTAAAAATCTGTGACAGCGTAGGACTACCGAAATTCCGTAGCAAAAGATCCTTACTCGCTTTCGTATCGTCTTGTATAAGTTACGGATATTTACGGTAATTCTCTCGGCAATAGTTTATGCTATAGAAACCTGCCAGATTGCGCATTTCCTGCAATCGGCCATTATTCTACTCTGCCCCGTGCATTCATTGCAGGCTTGTCGGCAACATTTTTTACCTGCAGATTGATCAAAATCTGGTGAACTTTTTGTGCCACTTTCCTCCTTTCTTCAGGATTTACAAAAAATAATTATGCACACACGCACGCAAAGACACACAGAGAGCATATAGGCCGAGTAATTTATGGACCCCCCTGGAAAACTTTTAAGTCAGCTTTGGCAGTCACCGTGGTGAGTTGCTGTTGATCCCGATTTTTTTCACCAAATCCCGATTTTTGTCTCCCTGAGATCCTAATTTTGAGGCTTCATAGAGTGGCAGATGTGGTAACTGTATTGTGAAGGTACGGCCTACACATATCTATTCATTATTCCCAGATTTGCCTTCTATCAGTATCAAAGGTGCGATGACAAATTAATTGAATTATAGTAGCAATGGAAGGGGAACCTGCTTTTAAACATTGTCAGCAATGGAAAGATATATTGGTGAAGAAATTAAACAAGACAAAATCTGGGTGAAAAAAATGAGTAGTATGGGTTGTTGGCAATCTCTTCAAACAGGCTCCCAAATCCCATTTTCAACCCTCTAAAAGTACTAAATTTCAATTTCTTCGGGGGTTTCGCCCCCTGAACCACCACCGGGACTCTGTCCCTGGACCCTGCTGGGGGCCGCACAGGCCCCCAGACCCCCAGCAGAATTTTCCTTACTTTTCAGCTTCAGCTGGTGGAAGCACTGAGTAAAGAAATGTAGGACTCTTCTTTTGAATACTGATACTATTGGACTCAAATTGTCAGTGCTCTGTTACTGAGAAATCAATATTTTTCGTTGCTAGATCTAGGTCTAGATCTAAATTGTCAAAATATTTTTCTCTCCCCAAATTCACTTTTTAGTGAAATTACACAAAAGTACCACTCAAGAGATGTACGAAAGGTTTGTTCCAAATGCAATTCTGAATAATTCTATGTAAGATACGAGTGTTTTTTTCTGTTTGTGAATGCATCTTGTCCTTTTTTAAAGATAATAAAACAATTATTTTTGGGGGGCAATACCAGATGTTATGATCCAAATGCACAAATTTTATGGAATGTATGTAAATAACTGCGAATTTTTCAATATTTTCCAGTTCTATATTCATTTATGGTTATTTTGATATATCATTTGACTAGTTACAAACATACTGTTGCGTTTCACGAAAGATTATTTTTTATTTTCAAATTTGTTCCGCGTCCGAGCAAAATTCTGTTGCATAATCGCATCTTACAGGAACCAAAGTTGAAAAATACACAAATAAACATTACAGATGTATTCTATAAACCGTACTGAAAATTTTGGTATATAGTATATTGATGTTTATTTTAATTTGAGGCCCCAAAGACCTGTGAGGGGGCTCTCATGGCCTAGAGGTTAAGGTGTTGGCCTCTCTTTCGAAGGTCCCGGGTTCGAATCCGGGTAGCGACTGAAAAATTTTCTTCTCTAAAGTTATCTCATTTCATATCGTTTCCTGTTCTCTAGCAATGTTCTGTCGCCTGCTTTCGTCTCCTCTTTCTTCCCCACCCACTCACCTCCTTTGTCCCCTCCTCTGGGCTCCTGACTCTTTCTGCAGCCTTTCTACTGCTACTCCTTGGCTCCTTCTTACTGCTGTCTTTCAGCCACACCCCTGATCTTCTGGTAGGAAAGATTTACACCTAGCCTTTTCGGACAAGGGCGAAAAATCTCGGAGGGCCTGTGTGCAAGTTGCGCACGTTAAAGATCCCTCGGTGGTCTAAAATCGACGTGTCCCCCGTGCTCATATGACTTTATGAAGTTGCAAGCGCTGTAAAACACTTACAACCCCCCCCCCCCAAGACCCAATTATTTTGAGCTTATTTAAAGCTAGCCAAGGTTACAGGTCAGGTGACTGATCGAGTGTTTGATATGTTTTTATGTATATTTTTTAGGGAGCTCTGACATTCTTTGCTGTGCGTCGCTACCGTCTTGGGGCCCAAGAAGCCTTTGCCTCTGGTTATGACCAGGACCCGAATGCGTCTTCCCCGTACAGCTCGTTCCCCGGAAGTGACACTGGTGACCCCTATCAACAGCCGCCATTCAGCCAGCAGAAGGAGACACCAGACTATCAGCAGCCGACATACTAAGCTTAAGCCAAGCTTTTTAAATGAGAGACATAAAGATGCAGTAGAAAAAGTGAAAGCTTTTGCCATTATGGTCTGGAGGGCAGACTGCAAAGATGCAACATATATAAATGTGGCTTTAGAAAAGATTAATAGAACAATGCTTTACAAATTTTCAAATTTCATCCATTTCATGTGATTAAATCTCAAATCCCATTAAAACTGCTTCGAGGCTTTGTGCATTGTAGCTCTAGAATTGCACGCGCATGAAAGAAAACTGCAAAATTGGGAGTTTCAAGTAAAGGAAGTGAACAGAAAGATGAACTGTATTGGGGAGCTGTTTCCCGTCTCCCGTCTTTAACGAAGATATTGAATGCATCAAATCAGTCTGTCCGAAGTCAGTGGTGAGGAAGAAACTCTACTGAAACAGGGATCAGTTGTGTGTTAGACAATAGATGTGTCATGTGTAGTTGTTTGCATCTATCTTTGTGTGTTTGTGTTCCTGTGTGTGGCATGGTGTTAGACTGCATTCTCTAGTAGTTGCTACAGAAAGATCTGTGTAAGATTCTTAGCTAGCAATGCTATGTGTCTGTTTACTCTTAACTCACTGACGCCCTCCAACTTAAGCAGCAATGTTTAAAAATATTGCTGGGATTGAACTTTTCAAATGTTTTGTCACATATGAAGGGTATAGGGAATATGATCACATTGCTCTGCTGTTGGTGCAATTGTTATCAGCAAAAAATTTTCTGAACTCAATCTGAATGTTCAGACTGTTTAAACAAACCAGGTCTATCGACTGTTTAGGATGAGGTTTTTTTTCCCCATATTCTTGCAGGCAGTCCTTTTAAAAAATTATGTTAAAAGTTTCCTCTGTGACCCCAAAAACATGTGACACTAAAGGGCTCCAACAAGGATTTTATGAGAGGAGATAATTGAGGTTTACAAAGAACTAACTTTTGCTTTGTGTCTTTATCGTTTAGCAAAAAAGTGCAGGAAGCTGCAACTGCTATGTCGAAGGATGTGAGTGAGTTAACCACCTAGAGTAATGTGTATTGTGCACCACGGTTGTTTGTGTGCATGTTTGAAGTTTGTTAATGAGCAAGTGGGGATTCTTTTATCATCACATTTGCTTACTTTCTTTCCATGTGATGAGTTGTTTTTGTATACATGGCTTTGTGAGTTGAAATGTCACTTGTTTGTTTATGGCATTATTTACTTTAGTAAAACATTTTGTTATGGTGGAAAATCCCAACTTCAGTGCTAATTGCAGTGTAAGTGCTATCTTTTTTAGATAGAATAACCCCCCCCCCCCCCCCTTCCTCTCTCAAATTGAGAGCAGAGGGGAACAGCAACTATTGTGCTCTTGGCTTTAAAAAAATTTTTTAATTAAGGAACCCTTTCTCTGTCACACAGCTTTCAATCCTTTAGTTGTGCATTGATCGGTATTTTTTCTTTGTAAAAAGAGAAAGATGTTTTCTCTTTGATCTGAATAAAATGGAGGAGGCCATTGGCTCATATTATTTTCTTGTGTACTCCTTAAGTGCTGATTTTGTAGGTTGGTTTCACGTAATCTCCTGTTCAAAGTAATCTCCATTTTTGTGCACTTTATTTCAATTTTAGAAAGAATTTGAATATTTTGTTTTAATGCTGCGTTTGTTAAGAGTATGATTCCAATTAAATTTTGTGATTTTTGCTTCTACTAGTAACGTGCCGTTTTTAAAGATTTTTAGTTTTTTTATCTTCAAGGTTTTTGATTTGAATCAAAAGTATTTACAGAACTGAATTAATTCAAAAGCCATTTTATTTGCGGATGTGTCTGAAAATGGAGTTTGGATATTATTGAAGTCTGAAAAGCAGAACTCCCTACAGATGTATTGAGCGGGAAAATTTGCCTCTATAGAGAATGCTGCATGTGTGCCATATGCTCAAGAGCATGAAAGACACTCAGAGAAAGAAAAATTTTAATAAAATGGACCTACATACCATCAAATGTCATACTTCCATTTGTTTTGTTGGTGCAATAACTATTTTTTGTCTCCCCTATTCTAGTTGTTCTGTGTAAATAGCATATCAAGTTGGGACATCAGCTGATTACGATTGTGTCCCTCTTGTGTGAGGCTTTTCCTTTTCATTTGAAACACTGCATATCTCATTAGCTTTTTAAAACCCGAAAGTAGTCTGGTTTTTATTATTTTTTTTCTACTTGTTGTTCTTTTGGGGCCCTTGTCATTTCATTTTTTAAAATCCTTAATTTGTATGGCACTGACTTGGAGATTCGAATAAGTTTATGTTGCTCCCTTTTTATTGCATTAGCTTTTGTCGAACTTTTGTATTGGTACCTGGGATTTTTTAAAATCTTTTTTTTTCAAACTATACTCTTTATAATTTGTTGTCTCTTTCACATTTGAAGGTTAATATCTTAGTCGACTTCTTAGTTTAAGACTCTGCTATGTACCATTATGAAAAGTAACATAAGACGGATGCTTGCACAGAGCAGTCAAAAAGCATGTAGAGTAGTAATGTGATGTCAACAAATGTTTTTTTTTTTTTTAACACCATAAAGCCTAGCACAATGGGGTCTGTAGCTGGGGCCATCATGCTCATCCGATGTCCATCGTCATGATCTCTCTTTTGTGACCAGAGAACTTGGGAAGTGTTGTGATGGGCCCATTGCCCAATAGGTGAAAACCAGATATGTGTTATAGTATGTGTGCATGTGTGAGGAGCATTGTGGTCACTTGGAGAAGGAACATCGCTGCTCTCTGGTATTTCCCACTGGGCTTTTTTTTTTTATCGTCGTTGAGCATTTCTGTGATTGATGACAATAATACCATTTTATGATGAGATTTCTTTTGTTCCTCGTTGTTCTCCTTGGTTTTACAAAGCGTTGTGTTTTCCGCCTCACAATGTTATCCAAATTGACGTGTGTTACTGCAGTCAGAGATGATGTCAAGAGTTTTAAATTAAAATTATCATCATTTTTAGAATTGCATCTGTTCCTTTTATTTTTGTGTCATGATATGTTTTATTCAGTCTATCCATCCAGAAGTTTGTGTTGTGCGTCTCATATTGACACTTTAACATAATAATTTTTTAAAACATCTGTTACTTTTATTTCTTATTGCCACCTTCCTTTATATTTTGGTCTTACTACCTTAGCCCATGTAATCTATAGTCTGTTGAATGCTTCTATGGGACTTATGGAAACTTTTTTTTTTTTTTTTTTTGTGCAGCTGAATGGGCTTACAGGGATATTTGTGCTTTATTTCTTGTGCCAGTTGGCGTACAATTGACAGATCATGATATCTCAATGTCTGGGTCCCAATGGAATGGGTAGAAATGGACACTACCTTTTTTTATAATTTTTTAAAAAGTGAGTCTCATAACTTGTCTATTCAAATGTGAAACGTTGTTTTCAGTGTATAGAATTATTTTATAATTCAACGAGATGATATTATTTCTCAACGGATATTTTTTAGGTATCTGTAATGCCTTTGAATAGGCATAATAAAAGCCTGCTAAGTATTAATTACCGAAAAATTAAACCTTATTTGTACTTTTTTCAAAAGCAAATAGTTAAGTCGGGTATAAAGTTTTGTGTTGATGTTGGTCTGTCCTTGTACTATTTAGTTTGTAGGAGAAAGCACTTTAGTCATATGTCGTGTTTAAGACTCGAGGTTACTTACTACAGAGGCACAACAGGTCTTTGGTTACAGATTGGATTACTTAATAGCAGCGATTCCTTGAGAAAATGTTTTATGATTATGGTGACACTAAAATGATTAAGTGTTGTTTGAGCCATAACATTTATTGAATGGCATCATTCAAAGATAATTGCATCTGTAGCAGTTTGCAGGCTTATTCAATTGGAGATATGGAGTTCGTTTTGGGGGATCTCATTGGGTTTGGGGTTTGTTTAAAAAAATACACATTTCCTCTTTTACTTGTATTAAAGCTGATCATATAATAGATTGTTTTTGTGTTTTAAAAAAACAATTTTTCATGCTAAGTAAACAGTAGTATTCATATACTTATGTGGGTATGCTAATTTGTCTTACTAATGATTGTACTGAGTTGAAAATACTAATTGCTTTGCTTTACTTTGCTGACTTGGATGAGTTGTTTTGGTGTTTTTTAAAAAACTCTTGTGGTTACTTTCAGCCACCAAAAACATTTGCAATATTTGGTACGACAGAAGTGTAAGTGTGCGAAGAAGAGTGAATGACTATTTATTTTTTATGAGGAGATTGCTACAAGAAACTGCTGCGTGGATATATGAGGGAAGATAATAACAAACAAACTGTGCATGAAAATGTAACTCCTTTATTTCTATCCTGATTTGACTGTGATCTGCTGTGTGACTCATGGTTTGGATGTATGCTGTTTTTTGTGTGTGTTTTTTTTCACCCTCATTCCACCTAGCCAGCTCATCATTTATATCTGCACCTATGACATTCCATGGGGATCATTGAAAAAGGGGCACAAGACAGGCCTACTTTACTGTTTTAGTTCCCTGTATTGATTCATAATCAGTTGTGAAAAGTTTTTCTTATTTCCTTTTTATTTGGCCAGGTTCTGCTTAACTTGGTCTGTTCTACATGAGTCCTCTCTGGTCCTGCCAAAGATAGTCTTTGACTTAATGAGTAGACAGTTGGAATCTCTTTCAGTCTTTTAGAGACACTTGGGATCTCTTCTAGTCTTCTAGAGAAGGTTGGGATTTCTTCTATCCTTAACAGTTTGCAGTCACACAGCCAGCAGTACAAAATACCACATCTGGTCACTCAGCCAGGAGAGCGAGTGCAATGGACTTTTCGGGCCCGGCACAGAACTGCACCAGGTGACCGGAACGGATAATTTTCACCTGCGCATTATTGCACCAAATGACAGCAAAGTGGTAACCAGGAGATAGTGGGGATTTCTACTACCCTTAATTAGGCAACAGCGGGGGCCTCATTATACCCATAAGTTGGAGACCCATCTTTGCAGTGAGAACAAGCTACATCCAGTATCGTATATGTACTGTGGGATATACCCAAGTTCAATTTCTGGTTTTTAAAGTTAAGTAGATAAGAAAGAATACTAATGTGTTTTTGCTTTTGCCTGTTGGTCTGAGCTGTTCTTTAATTTTGACTCTTTGAATTTAATTCATATGTTATACTGTTTATATTTCATTTGTTTCAATACATGTTGTTCTGAATTGTAGGTACATGTGTCATGCTTTCTTTTCGATGCCTTGTAAGTTTTTGAAAAGTGAAACACCGAAGGGATAAGTTGCATACTGTACAGCTGTATGTAAACTTTCAATTGGTTTATCTTTCTATGGATCTAGGTGTTTCTCCTCAGTTTGCTAATTTTTGCATCATTTATTTTTTAGGTCACTGGACTTGTGCCCCATCACTTGCAGTATACTTTTGCGCTAACTTTTTGTGCTCGTGTTGCCGTGAAACCTGCAGTGTCCTTTCAGGACCACAGAAACTTCGGAAGGGTTCTGTTTTTAGATCACTTTTGTCATGTCACCCTGAAGATCAAATGCTAACGTTACAAATGATGTAAAATGAACATCAAGTTTTATGTTGTCCCGCCCTTCCCCCTCCTAACATTGACCAGCCTGTTTGTCTATCTATATTATGTATCCCCCTTCTCTATATCTCTTTTTTCATGTTTTCTGTCTGTCAATACTTTTCCTGTTCTGTTTGTCTTTTTTCTTTTCTTCTTGTTTTACCTGTCTCCTTCTTTTAGTGATCTAAACATAATATGTGGAAACATATTCAGTCCTAGAGTTTATGCAGGTTTTCAACTTTCTATTTTGAATTTGTCCTTTCCGGACAAAGTAGGAAGGTACATGGTTTCTTTGTTTCCTTTGTACCACCTTGTGTCATGATTGTTAGCATGTTGTAATGCGTATATATACCAACACGTAGCAAATGTGTGGACTAGAAGTTTTCTCCTTTATCGTCTCTGGGACATCCTTCTGAGACGAATTCATAACTTGGTTGTTGTGATCATCATTGTCAATGTAGTTTTCATCATTAAACAGACAAAACACAACCTTTTGTATTGTTATTTTTTAAAACTTTTGTACTGGTGTTACAGTAGTCTCCGCCTAAGATCCCACCGCTTACGATCCCGGTTCGCTTAAGATCCCGGTTCGCTTAAGATCCCGTTGTTTTAGGAAAACAGAATTTTTACTATACAAAAGTCGCCGCTAAGATCCCGCTCTGATGGTCTACATTCGGCTAAGATCCCGCATTTCAGATCATAATTTGCTTTAAAAAAAAACCCGGGTGGGCACAGCCGATCAACCAAGAGTAAAAAGTTGAGATCAATAAACTGTCCGACGCGTCAAAGATCAGCCACTATCGTGAATGTGATCACATACATGTTGTAAAACTCGATGAAGCGATACAATGTTTGCCCCAGACGGGATTACACCGGGGTGTGAACTGACCGACGCGTTTGTTTTCCCCACGCATCGCACTCACACCTGAGCTCGCCACCTAAGCTTGCATCACTCGCTGGGTGGGTAGGGCCTACAAGTTCGCTCCTGGCGGGATCACATCGAACCGTGAACTCCTCCTTGACCATTGCAGGAGTTGTCTCTACTCCTGAATTTGTGAGACAGACTGAATTTTAATTGGTGCGTTCACAACGTAATGGTGTGTAACGACAAAGTCGGTTTGGAGGGGGGGGGGGGGGGGCTCGGTCAGAGATGGAAAGCTATACATTTTTGACAGGTAAAGAGGCGGGGCAAATGGATAATCGTAGATCCTGAGACTCATGATAGGATAATAAGTGAAAATGGCTCGCCTCATGCCACTATGCACCGTGATAGGTCATCAAGGTTAACCACTCTTTGCTCGCCATATGCCATAAACCCACCAAGGGGGCACGTCAGCTCATTGTAGAGTGGAGGGAGACCATTTTACCGATTGTGAGCCTTAACATGGGTCAACATAGATTCTTTCCTGGGTTCGTCGGTTAAGATCCCGGTTCGCCTAAGATCCCGCGTTTCCTTGCTCCCGAGCACCGGGATCTTAGGCGGAGACTACTGTATTGACCTCTATAATTTTTTTCCTCCTTGCTCCAAATTCAACTTTTTTCAGACCACTAGGAGATCCTTCTTTTCTTGCTCACTGCCTTTCTTTTGTTTGTTCAGCACTTAACACTTTGCAGTCACACAGCCAGCAGTACAAAATACCCTGTCTGGTCACCCAGCCAGAAGAGAGACTGCAACGGACTTCTCGGGCCTGGCATAGTGCGCCAGGTGACCGGAACGGGTAACTGCAAAGTGTGAATGGCTGTTACCATGTCATTGTGCCTCTCCGCTCTCTTCATTATTGTATTGTCTTAACAAGAATAAAAACTTAATTTTGTTGCTGCACAACTGAACTAGAAAATCCTGCCTTCTCTGCCCATAATTGTACATGTATTTGTAGTACACGCAAACTGATCTGAGTGCCTTCCTTGGACAGATTGATGTCGTCAGGCCGATTTCGGTAGATAATTTTGGATGCAATTTGTTTTGTTCAGCGGTTAGCACTTTGAAGTTGAAATCATAAATGAAAGTAAGCATAAGTGCATATATAGAAGCTTTCAAGCTACTAGGTTAACAAAATGCATATAGAACCACAAGGACACGCAGGTGAACTCGTGTAGCCTACATGTATTTGTACATGACATCGAGACCAGAATTATCTTTTGTGGGTGGTTGGCGGGTGCTCTGGTGTGGTTTGCTTCTTCTTTCCTATCAAACATCTATCGTCCTTATCCCCCCTCCTTTTTTATGTTTGTTACTCCCTTGCGACACCTCTAATCTTCTGGCGCTCTAATGACCTCATGCAGTTGCGAGCGCCGTAAAACCTCTACTAAATCCAAAAAAAAAGAATTTTCTTTGTTCAATGAAAGGGGGAAAGCAGATGGTGTAAGTTAAGGATAGTTAAGAAGTGGACTCCAAATTTAATGACCATTACTGATACTGATAAGACAGAGTCCTAAAGATCTGAAAGACCTATTTATGGTATCAAGCAAACTGGGCTCTTCCACTTTACTCTCACAAACTGAGTGTGGCAAGCAGCTGGCCTTTGCCATCCGCTGCCGCTAAAAAACTAAGACAATGTCATACACGGTACCAAAGAACAAAATTTCCTTGGACGATTTTTGCTTGGGAGGCGGCTGAAGCCTGCTCTTATTGATGTTAGGACCACTTTTGTAACGTAAGCAACTTGCTCACGGGACCTCCAAGATTTTTTTCGCCCCTTCAAGAAGGCTAGGTGTTACATCTTACCTACCCTGCCCTAAGATCAGGGGCATGGCTGAAAGACAGCAGTTTGAAGGAGCCGGGGACTAGGACTAGTAGTAGCAGTAGAAAGGCTGCAGAAAGAGGAGTCTGGAGGAGGGGGCAGAAAGTGGAGACGAAAGCAGACAAAACAATATGGTTAGAGAGCTTGAAAAGGAGGTAAAAGTAGAAAATTTAAGAGAACATTTTCCATCGTTCGTTGTCAGGTTTCGAACCCGGGATCAATTGAATGAGAAGCCAACACCGTACTTCTGGACCATGAGAACCCCCTTATCTTTTTTCTTAGTTAGGGGCGGCTCGTGGGGCTAAAAAGTGGGCTTGCACAATTAAGCTATCTTAGGCTGAAGATAGACAAGGGCATAGTAAATGGGATGGTGTATAATTTTAGGATCTTTAGGTTGGTGAGGGAGGACTTAGTGCTTCTATTTTCATTCTTTTTACTTGTCGCTTTGATTTCAAGAACTAAATCTATTTGTTAGTTAAATATCAATGTCGTTCATCCTGCATCGGAACTGAACACTCAAGTAATAACTTTCCCCACTCCACTACAAAACCATTCAAAGGCACAACTCATAGGGCGGTGACTTAAGTATGTCTCGTTCACCTCCCTCAGGTTCACGGTCACAGAGTCGCATAAAATAGTGGCAAGACAATGAACCAATCACAGTTCACTTGCGCACTACGCTGGATTGCTCCGAGGATGACATAATTTTGGCATTGAATAGGCCTAGTGTACAGGCTTAAAAGGCTATCGCGTTTATTTTTAGACTTCATGCTGTGGGCTATCCAAGACACGTCTTAATGTGTCTTGGGGGCTATGTTTCATGGGTGCACATTTGAGATGGGCCGTCTTATTAATATTAATGTACCGCCAAACTCGCTACGAGTGTCGTCATCGCTTGGGTTATCCCAAAGAACGATTTTTAGGTCAGATAAGATAGTAGATAGCCACTGTTTAATATTCTATTACGTTTAGTTAAAGCGCGTGGACTTTGGCAAGGCATAGTAGATATTTTAGGGCGTTTTTGATACAGAAATGACAGTTACAGCTTCGGCGAGGACCTTGTTTTGATATTATATTTGGCTAGTGTTTGTTTTTGACTTCTTTTATTCCACGTTAGTGGGTGCTTTTCGTCATAGAACTTTAAAAAAATTTGGGCGGCACTGCACGACCGTGCTCTATGGACGAATCGCGCCTGGTTAATCCATTAAAAAATCTTCAGACTCTTTTTTTTGGGGGGCTTATTATCGTCTTGGCAAATTTCGGAATCCAAGGCAAATTTCACCTTTTCTTCAAACGCAATGTGGGATAGTAAGTGCACTGCTACTAACACGGAACCACGCATACCAACAAAGCAATACATTTATCTATATCCAACTATGGGATTCTCTCCGTACATTTTATTCAAACAGGGAAGTCATGCTGTTTAGAAGTCATTTTTTGTGACCGTCACTTTGTTTACTTTTCTCTGAATAATCTGTTTGTGATACAATTTACTAATTATATGGCGATAGCGAAATGTGAAACCCCATGCACATCGATTTGTACTGCTAGAACTAGAGCTTACAAAATTTGCAGCAATTAGTTTTAGGGTATCGAAAGCTGTGGTTCGTTGGTTTCTGTTTAGGCGATACCAAAGCTGATACAGACCAAAGATAGACCAAAGATATGTATTATCTTTGTACAGACCTTATTATTTAAAAATGAATTATCTTAATTATAATATGCCTACCGGTACATTACCTTGTATCAGGTGACTGATTCCGACGGTTCGGTTCACATGATACTCATGGCTGAACAGCAGAAATCGTCAAAAATACTTGACGTGTTCGAAGATAACATTTTTGTTTTCACTTTAGATTTTTTAAAGACTTATATATGTGACAGAGAATCAATTTTAAAAATCTTGAACATATGTTTTCATGTCTTTCTGGCAATATCAGTGGAAGAAAAACTTTTCTTTTGCTATCGAAGTATAAGTCAAATCAAAATAGCGGAAATCCCAGCCTAATATGTTGCGTCAAACAGTGTGATCATTCCAATACTGATGATCGAACTGCCATTCCTTTCATTTACTATCATTGTATTAATTAGAAACTGTTGTCAAAAGCACTCAAATCTCGTCCTCTTTTCAACTCTACCAAAATCACAAATTAAGAAATGTGTACGTAGTGGACCAAAACGTCAGGAAGCATCACAAGGATCTTTTTCTGTAAACTATACCTATCCTATATATTTGACGACTAGGCCCACAATTTAAACACTGCAAAATAGTTTACTAAGCTAAAAGAGCGTCCAAGGAGCACTCATTTTCAGGTAGTGCCACCGAAAATTTTGAGGACTCTTTACCTTTCCTTTTTTTCTCAAAAAGAGTTAAGAGGAACCATCTTGTAGAAGCCAATAAAAAATCAAACAGGATGAAAGTTTTGGTCTCGGCCGCCTTGGTCCAAAGATCGGAATATAATTACAAAAATAGTAAGTATCGATACATCTGAAAAACGGTTCTGTTGCCCCATTTTCAAACCTCAAGCCTCAAAACCAAGGAAGTTTGTTTGTTGTGGGCCTTCTAAAAATATCCCAACCAAAGTAAAGATTTTAGGTCCTTGCCTCTCACAATACGAACCTGAGAACTGAGGCTGAAAGAAAACGTTTACAGTACAAGTGCGGGGTAAGGAGTGATGTTGAAGACTTTTTTTTACACAGTGATTAAGAAAGTGGCTATTCTCACCCGCCCGGAAGTTCTCGCAAGATCAACTCCTCCCCTCTTCTCTCTCTCTCTGTCTCTTTCTGAATACTGTCTATCGGTGTGGACGATCAAATTGATCAAAACAAAGTTAAAAAATGATGTTAAAACACAAAAGTAAATTAATTTGGTTGTCTACAAAGCTGCTACAGCTATTTAACTTGGCCACCTCTATTCTCACCCGGAGTGAGAATAGTGCAGGCGAGTCTTGTGGCTATTCTCACCCGGTGCGCGTTCACCAAATTTTGTGCTTTTCTTGATTCAGGGTGCCCAGCAAAGTCGTAAAAAAGTCGTAAATCCGGCGCCCTGGTCGTAAAGGTCATAGTAAATGTGCAGTAAAGGTAGTAAACATTTGGTAAACAGTGGTATATTAACCTGCGTACCCAGTGATGAAGCTAGCAAGACTTTTCATTGAACCCTAGCCGCGGTACTTGACTCCGTTTTTTGCCGGTCGCTATTGTGATATAATATTCGTTCACCTTTTCCCCGTCCAAGAGTACAAGAAAAGAAGGTACAAGCGCCGTCTGATTTTTAGATTGTCGGGCTCGCCATGGTGAACGGTCAGTGAACCTGCCCGCGTGAGCACGGCGTTTGTTGTTGGGGTCGCCAAAGTTCATTCAAATTTCAAAGTCTGAGCGTTGTGAAGTGTAGGCCTAGAACTACGGAATGGGATAGGGGATTAAAATTAATTACTTTTTTTTTTAAGATGCCTTCGGAGGAGAAGGGAGGGGGGGAGCTGAAGGCAACACCAGAGGACAAAAACTTTAGATGGGTGATAGATCTAGTAAATTATAACAATATTGTAGCTTTCTGTTCAAGGCTGGTAGATTTTCAGTGTCACTGCATCTTGCCCACCCACAGTTCTTACAACTGTCTCACTGCATGGGTCTACTAGAGCCTAGAGCCATTCAAGTTATTGAATTTGAGCTATAATTTTTGCCTTTCATGGTCATAATATTATGAGTCATGACTCCCAGATTGGTTCTTGACAGTCGAAATTCTTTTTCAAGGCCCTTCCGAACGCTCAAAGCAGGATTCATTTTTTAATATATATAATAATGAGGGGAAAATTTATAACTCACTGAAATACTTAGGCTAAGTCAAACAAGACCCAAGTGTGACACTGACATGTTGTTGACTGGGTATATTTTACGTGTGTGTGTTGTAATGTAACATGCCCCTGAAAAATGGATGACCCCCCCTGGAAAATTGAGAAGCGGGTTTGGCAGTCACTCTATATGCACACATTAGGTCTAAATCTACACCCCCCCTCCCCAACCAGTTCTACTGACATAAGCGTCTTTAGACCATTCCCAAAAGGGGGGGGGGAGATATTAACTTGCTCTTATGCACAGTATAATTTTAAGTATGGGATGATTTATATCAATGTCATGCTTATGCTGTGCCGGAACAACACAAGGGGAACTGCTGCTTTTTCTTCTCATCCTTACTATCGTCATTTTTCCTCTACTTCTTTTGTATGTTTGTCACTCTTGTGACCCGCTATTTCCGGGGTGCCTTGATAGTCGAAGCAGGCTTTGGGCTGTTGAGGCTAGAAAGGTGAGCAGAATAAGCTTGATTGCCCGTTTGGATTTTTTTGTTGACATCCACCCCTTGTGGCTCATATGACCGTATGCAGTTGCGAGCGCTGTAAAAATATTACTAAAACTAAAATTAAATCTAGCGGCGAGCAAGCTTGCGTTCGTCTATCCTCCATTTTGTTGACTGAACGTTCCATATATTATGTAATGATAATATATGTTAGTGATGGCGAGCTGGTGTGGGGCTTGATTTGCTGGGTAGTAAAAAATTTTTCCAGGTAGTAAATTTTTTCAGCAAATGTTGCTGGACACCCTGTCGATTACAATAGAGTAATTTGTTTGTATTATATCCTAGTATTTGGAGCTAGAGAATCACTTTGGAAAGCGAAGCCCCTCAAGATCGGAATGCGAGGTCGGCCGGTTCAAAAATTGACACCCATGCATTCGAATGCTTTGAAGAAAGAGTGATTATTAAATATCGTCTATTCATTGGCAAACCACTATAGAGCTTTGAACGGGGCTTCCCGTGGTATATTTTTGGCCTTAAGCGTTTAATAGAAAGCCTTTAAAAAACATCAAACTTTTCAAATATCATTTTTAACATGAATTACGTAAAATACCGGCTCAAAAAGGGTACCAGTAGAAAGAACAGTACTTTTGCTATCTACAGAATAAAGTCATTGGCTTGGAATTTCAATCCTTCCACTAAACTCCGGGGAGCACTCAGTATACTACAGTTAGAGTCACTGACTCGCTTGCCGTGGGGACCGGTGCGTCGCTGGCCGGGACAAAGCTTGGGTTTTGGGGGTTTTTTTGGGGGGGGGTTTTGTTGTTGTTGTTTTTTAAATAATAATCAAAATAACGACAGATCAACGTGTTTGAGACAATAAAATACTGATTTGTAACGATTTCACCGTCTTGAAAAAAAATTACGCCATTTCTTTGTTATTTAATGATTGTACTCTGTTAAAGCGGAGATCTTTGGTGCACTTGGTACTCTTTTATTTACCCGGGGCAGTACCAGGGGGGGGGGGGGGGCAGTACCACTGACTGTAGTGTCTTTTGGCCATTCCCAAAGGGGGGACATTTCTCGTTCAAGCACAGTAGATAGAATTGTAAATGGGCTGATTCATCATATCACGCTCATAACTGTGCCTGATCTACAACAGGGAACTGCTGCTTTTTTTTTCCTAATCCTTACTATTGTCATTTTCCTCTACTTCTTTTGTATGTTTGTCACACTCTTGTGAAGTGCTATTTCTGGGGTGCCTCGATAGTCGAAGCAGACCTTGTGCTGTTGAAGCTAGAGAGGTGAGCAGAGTAAGTCTGATTCCCTTTAAAGACTTCTCTGTTGACACCCACCCCTTGGCGCTCATATGACCTTATGCAGTTGCGAGCGCCGTAAAACCCTCTACTATTAAAAAAAACCCCCAAAAACCCCTCTTTTATTATCTGTCAAACATGGGGTTGCAGCCAGCTAGTGAATTTAGCAATATTCAATAATATTATACTAAATTAAAACAGCTGCTGTTTTCTTTAAAATGGACTGAGAGGTGATAGTAGGGTTTCAAAACTCTCAGGAAACAGATGCATTTGGCACACAGCTACTTTGTAAATTTAGTTTCTGGTACCTAGTAGTACAATGCTAACATGCTGTACGTGAAGTCCATTCTCGTTAAAATTGTGTTTTGTCCATAATTTTTTTTTCTGAAAATGAATAGTTTTCTACTCTGTGTGTTACCCAGTAGTGGCCTAGCCAAGATAACTGCCGAATTTGAAGTCTCTATCTCAATTCTGAGACTCTGTTACTATAAGAACATGTTGCTCAACTTCGGAGCCCATTTTCTCCTTTTCGTGTTTCTGAACCTTGCATACTTAGTTCCATATTTTCTTCAAATATTGTCTTATTGACTTCATTTTTTTCCAAATTGTAGTGAAATGGTGATAGTTTGAGGAAATTATGTTGACTAAATTTTGAAATTTCCTTCATATGGCTGATTTTGACCGGGAGGGACACAAATGTTAAAGAAGAGGGGGAAAGAAGCAGCAAGAAAAAAAGAAAAAGAAAGAATAAAAGGAAAAAAATGAAAGTGAAGAAAACAGCTTGGATTGCTTAATTATTTAACTAGTTAACACAATTTAACGCCCTGGCCCATTTGGTCTGAATAATTTACTACCCCTCTACCATCGTGCAAGAGCATTAGTCTCGTGATCGTGTCTCGTTATGTTCGTACACGCTCTCTGTTCCTGAAACTATAATTTATTGTGTGCAGGCAGAGAGGCCTGCCATCGTTAAGTGTGTAAACAACAAATGGTCCTGCCAGCGCCAGTCCCACATTCCGCGCAGTAGCGTGGGTAGTGAGACATTTTTTACTGGAGAGGCGAAAAATGTTTTTACATTATTCTGCATTGTAATTTTCCATATCCCAGAGCCCGAACTTAATTCTGTAAGAGTGTCCTTCATTTCATGGAATGGAAAGCTTGAAGCAGGCCGAACTATTACATTAAAAAGATATATAAATCTACATCACTGTCGATGTCCGAGGGGGGGGGGGGTGAGAATAGCGAGTCATGACCTATTCTCACCAGCCCTTTCTATGTATTAACCCCTTTGCAACATGTGGCGTACCTGTACAGCATAAATTTAGTAACTGAAGGATCTTATATTATAATGTACAGCATAAGATCAGCTGATTCTGACTATTTAAGCAAATGGTGTTGGAAGACCATAAACTACCTTTCTTTATTTTTGCCTTTGTTGATGTTAATGTTCGTAGGTGATTTAATATTTAACCCTTGCTTCTGCGAAGGCTGAAAAGTGAATTGTGGTAAGTTACTAACAATGTCACCATGGATTTTTTTATGGTACACCCCAGATCGGGGATCCAATATTTGTGTGAAAAGAACCATGAATAAAAAATGTACCCTAGTCAGTCCCTCACATGACCTGTTTTCTGAATGTCAATGTGAAAATAATTCTTCTCTTCAAATGGGTTGCAGGTTGTGGCTGATTTGTAAATGGAGGCTGGCAAAATCAAGTCAGCCAAAGAAATTGCCAGGTGAGAGTTTTTCATGGTTAAAAGTTTTTGGATCTTCCCAATATTTTCAGTTGACACAGTCTCTTTTAGTCCTTTTACTGTGTGCCTTTTGTTTGTATCAACAAACTGCATTTTGTTGTGCAATATAGGTCTCTATTTAGTTACATTACAGTAATCTTAAGATAATAAAATAATAAGTGGATGTTTTACTAATTTTACATATATATAACGGAAAATGGGCAAATATATTTTTTATGTAGAAGAATGTTGCACAGGAAACCAGACTTGCTGTAAAATCTGGACCTTCCAACATTACAAGTATATTGTTGTCCTTATGATAAGACTAGCTAACCCCAGTTGCGTAAACTTTACAGGAGAAGCTAAAAACTTATATTTGGCTTTCTGACGCAGCAACCTGATCTGATGGTTGGCGGGTTGTTTGGCTTTATTCTAACTTATTGGAGCATTACAAATAAAACTTCAGACCTGTCTTTGCCTGTGCATATGAAATGCATAGTTTACTGTTGATTCGAAGAATTAAAAAAGATTATATGTTATGGATTAGTTGGTCTCATCACAAGGGGGATGAATACGTTGAGGGTAAACTGCCTTTTATGCAACAAGACCTATGTGCAACCACTTTCTCTATCTTCTGAATAAAACAAAATTGCAACCCCCCCCCCCCCCCCCAAAAAAAAAAAAACAACCCCAGAGCACCTTCCTTTGGGTTGTCTGTTGACTTATAATCCACTTAATTTTTTATTTCCACTTTAATTGAAGCTGGCAGAAACATTAAAAGCATTTCTGTTTAAAAAATTGGTTTGTGAGATTTTTATATATATAAATTGTGCAAGTGGGGAAGAAAAGAAGAAAAGAATAGTTTGTTTTCAATGCTGTTATTTTGTTCATGATGAGTTACTGATTATTTGCTACTGATTGTATAACATTTGCAGTACAAAAGACAGCGAAATGTTAGTGGTTGCTTCAAAGGCATGATGAAATCACCCAAGGCCTACATGCAATCAGGCTGGTTGTGGGTTGGGCATGGGGATTTGTTGTATGGACCAAGATACAACAACTTCTTGGGTTATGCCAGAATAATTCTATATCTAGTCTCTGGTTATCGTCAGTCACTATTATAATTATATTTCTAGCTTGTTATTTTGTATAGAAAGGAAACACCAACAAAAAAACCTCCCATACCATTGCTAATATTGTGGAGCAATACCATTAGCATCTTACTTGCAGAAATCAAAGTTTAAATAAACATTTAGGTCAATCTAGAATGCACATTGCTGAAAGAAAACACATATACTAAAGAGATATTCAAATCTTGATTTTTTTCTTATATCACATTCTTTGTATTCAAAACGCACACATAGTGTTCATGGTAAAGAATTACAGTCGAACCTGCTTTAACGGAAACCTGTAAAAAACGGAAACCTGCCTTAACAGAATCTCCCCGCTCCCCGCTTGATATATTCTTCTTTAATTACCTGTGTGAAACGGAAACAGAAAGAAAAATCCGCTCCCTTCAGAGGGTTTCACCTGTCTAAGATGGAAAATGCTTTGCACACTCAGCCCTGATTTGAAACAAAACTCGCAAGTTTGGTTCCGCCGGCTCTAAACTTATCGCCATGGCCATGCCGTTGGGCGAGTAAGAGGAGTTAAGGGTGCAATTTGGGGGTGGATATTACCCCATCATGTGAGCCCTGAGCGATGCAGATGGTCAGGGTGGTGTGGGTGTCAAATCTCACGACTGCCCGTGAGAATGCTCGAGTACTGAGCCACTACGGAAATCTTCCTGGGTAGCCATAAGCCAGAGGTGTAAAATTAGATTGACCAATGCCTTCCGCCCTTATTTTGTACGGCCAGCCAAGAAAAGAGTTCCTCGAATCGTTGTTACATGATGGCAGTGAGAGGTGGCATTGGTTGACTGTGCTTGTTACACGGGTAGGTAGGGCTAAGGGTGAAAGCGAAGGAGATGTTCAAACGTTTCTGTTTTTAATAGGTCAAACAGTGGTCCTATGAAAGACAAGCACTGGTGGTAAGACTGATGCATGTCATTATCAAACTGGATAGAAATTGAGAGGTGTGAAGTTTGACCACTGCTTGCCGATCGGACAAGCGATCCTTGATCCCACTTAAGTCTAAGTGGGTTTTCAACTACCTCCTTAACAACTGGTTGCAGTAGGGCACTTTACTCTATATCTGTGCCGGTTTAGTTTACAGCCTAGCGTTAGTTTATCGCAATCTAGGACGTCTACCGTAACTTACATGTCCCGCTTGATTTGCCATGGTAATGACACCGCTGGCTACATTTAGATCAAAGGCGGTGGTGTTTACAATTGTGTTGTATGAGCAGATGGATTTCTACATTTTGCAGTGTTGTTTAGATCAAAGAATTTTATAGTGGTAAAGATTATGATTTCAAACTGCAAGTACCAAAACATTTTTGATATAGCCAATGATAATCCCAAGCCTGTATAAATGCAATGGGACAGTCTGGGAAAATGTTAACTGAACTTCGTTACAAGTCTCAAGCCTGAACAAACTTGTAGACGGTCAAGTAGAACAGTTGTCAGACCGGTCAGGCGGTAAACTGTCTAGTAGACCAGAAACATTGGTGTAGTCTGTCAACTAAAGCAGTAGCTGTTTGTCTTATAATATTGTTGCTATGTGGAGGTAAGTATGATAAATCTCTTTTTCATGTAACTTTTTGATTTAACAGTTTTGATTTAATTGATCATTTATGTTGTGTTGAAAATTTCTGGAGTCTCCTTCCACAATACGTCATGAAAGTATTCAGAATTTTTTTTTTTTTTAGTCATTTACTAGGTTGTATTACTTTGACTAGAAACATTGGAATTGAAATTGTCTCTGTGACTTAGACCTCCGTGTCTTATGAGTTATGTTAATTACTCACTTCACCATGATTTAGTTTTATTTTTAGTTAAGGCCTTGAGAGACTTGAGGCAGATAGTACATACAGTCGAACCTGTGTAAGACGGAATCGCAAGGGAGGGGGAAAAAAATTCCGTCTTAGACAGGGGAATTTAGGGGGGGTGGGGGGTTCAAAGGTCCAGCCGGTGGGATCAAGGATCGCTTGTCCGATCGGCAAGCAGTGGTCAAAACTTCACACCTCTCAGTTGCTATCCTGTCTGATAGTGACATGCGTCAGTCTTACTTATCCAATTACCACCAGTGCTTGCCTTTCATAGGACCACTGTTTGACCTATTAAAAACAGAAGCGTTTGAACATCTCCTTTGCTTCCCCCCTTAGTCCCACCCACCAATGCCACCCCTCACTGCCATCATTGTAACAACGATTCGAGGAACTCTTTTCTCAGCTGGCCGTACGATCAGAGTGGCAGGCATTGGTCAATCTAATTTCACACCTCTGACTTCTGGCTACCCAGGAAAGTTTCCGTAGTGGCTGGCCACTTGATCACTCTCACGGGCAGTCGTGAGATATATCACACCCACACTACACTGACCATCTGCAGCGCTCAGTGCTCACATGATGGGGTAACATAGGGTAACTCGCACCCCTACTCCCCTTCCTCGCGGAGCGGCATGGCCATGGAGTTAAGTTTAGAGCCGGCGGAATCAAACTTGCGAGTTTTGTTTCAAATCAGGGCTGAGCGGGCAAAGCATTTTCCGTCTTAGACAGGTGAAACCCTGGGAAGGGAGCGGATTTTTCTTTCCGTTTCCGCGTTGGACAGGTTTCCGTTTTATGCAGGTAATTAAAGAGGAATATATCAAGGGGGGAGCGGGGAGATTCCGTTAAGACAGGTTTCCGTTTTACACAGGTTTCTGTTAAGGCAGGTTCGACTGTACATATATACATTTTTGATTCCAAAAGAATACGCCATAATCATTGTGCGATATTTCAAAATCGAAACACAATAGAAAATTCTAGCTTGGACTCATGTGTTGTACGCATAGCTTCAAGTTTTTATTTCATGTTTTACAAGTGCTCAATGTGGCCACCACTGGCAACATGGACAGCATCAAGCCGATATGAGAATTCCTCCAAAACGGGCCTCAGAATGTCTCAGGCCACTGTGTTGATTGTAGCTGTTATTTGATCTTTCATGCTATAGATTTGCTGAAAGTGATGGAGCATAAGCTTTGTCTTTAACATACCATCACCAAAAAAAATCACTTACAGTGAGGTCCGGGGATCTGGCAGGTTCACCTCAGAGCGCGAGGTCTTTTGCATATCTCCTACCAATCCACCGCTGAGGCACGTTTTCTTTCAGATAAGCTCCAACTTAGAGATCGGAGCTCCATTTTGTTGAAAAATGAAGTCAATCGAATCTGCGTGAATATCCACTTCTTGTAGGAGTATTAAAAGACAAAGTTTATGTTTCAATGCTTTCAGCAAATATCAATGACACAAAAGATTGAATAACAGCTACAATCAACACGAAGGACTGAGACATACTGAGGTGTATTTTGGAGGAATTCTCATTTCAGCTTGATGTTGTCAGTGCTGCTGGTGGTGGCCACATTGAGCACTTGTAAAACATGACATAAAAACTTGAAGATACTTAGAATACATATGTCCAAGCTGGAGTTTTCTATTGCTTTTTTGTTTTCGAAATATCACTTGATGATTTTGGTGTATTCTTTTTTAATTACCCTGTATATTGAAAAAGAAAGACAAAACATTATTATTCTACTTGATTTGATACTTCCCAAACTTCAACACTTTTGAATAGCTTGTTTGTTTTAATTTTGGTTAAATATTTGTTTTGAGACCCCTTGCTCATTGACGCCCTATCCTTTCCTTACAGACTTTTTGTGATTTTTACAGAGAACTGGGTTTGTTGAGAAAACGACCTGTGTCCTCGGGATCTCCCCGACTTAAGTCAAAGAAACAAAAAGCAGGTAAAACTTGATCTAGTGTGCTGTTTAAGAGTTTTACTGAACTTTTCGTACATCGCATGATTTAACTGTTTCTCAATGAAGAGGCACTCAGAAATCTAAAATATATCCACAGAAACTGTAAAATGTAATTTTTATAACTAACGTTTTAGAAATAGTGACAAATAGCTATGTTGTTTTTACCCCATTTTCGTTAAGATAATGATTCCATGAATAAAGAGTGGGAGATTGACATTGTGCTGATGGTGATGTGTAACTGACCTCTTGACATGGCTCATGCTGGGTTAATGGCCAGCTGCCCTGAAAAGTAAAAGATTACCACTGCACAGCTGTGTTCAGAAAGTCCAAAATGGGTATTATTGTGTCGGTGTGATTTTTTTTCTCTTATACAAAGAGTTGTGCAGCCAAGGCCGGGAATAATGTTTTTTTTCTGTTCAAAAAGTGTTAATGAAGAGATCAGTGTCCAGCTTCATCCTTTCAAATTAAAAAAAAAATGAATATATTTAATCTTAACCTTGTCTTCAATATCACAATATCATCTGGAATGTATTGAATTATATTTTTTATCTAACATTAATGTACATGCTTCTTTACTTTCCCTCTTTTCAGTTTCAAGTAAAGTGGTTGAAGCTGACTGTTAAGTAACTCTTAGTTTTAATGTTTCAAAAAAGTGTCTGTTCCTTGTTCATTATACCTGAGAATGTTTTGATCGATCTCTTTTCCTCTTCTTATTTTTTTCTATTATGCAGATCAACCCTTCTCACACTTGATCATTATTGACTTTGAGTCAACTTGCTGGGAGAATGACAAGACTAGTCCCCAGGAGATCAGTGAGTTTTGTTTCAAAATGCAGTTGTCTCTGCGTAAGATCCCGGTGTTAGGGAGCAAGGAAAATGCGGGATCTTTGGCAAACGGGATCTTACCCAACGCATCAAAAGGAGAATCCACTGTGTCTCATGTTCAGGCAGACAATCGGGGAAATGGTTCATCCTTACTCTGAAATGTACTGACGTGACCCCTGGGCAGAGCTGTTAAAGTACTTTTAAAAAGGTACTTAAGTACAAATTTAAGTACAATCTAAAATATGTACTTAAGTACAGTAAAAGTACTTTCCTGTAAAATGTATTTGAATACAAGTACTTTTTAAAAAAGTACTTATGAGTACATTTTGAGTACTTTCTGCTAATATGCTAAAACACTTCAGTGCTAATGCAAAAATCATATTGAATAACATATCTAGTATATTTGACAAATTCGGCCATTTATTACTAATAATGTAAACAGTATACAAAGCATTTGAATATACGCACTGAACGTAGGTGGAAATTGTCTGTGAAATTGAAAAAAAAACCCCAGCAAACAAACAGACGCAACTAGTGAGTAAGTGATATTATGAATAGAATTTGTTTGAGCAAGACAATATGATCAAATGTAAGTCAGTCCTAGAGGTCGGAAAGTAGGAAAAGTATCAAAATTGGAAAATGTAGAGACAAAGTTGATCTAAGAAAATAAAAAAATTGATGAAAATGGCCAGCAAAAAAAAGTGCTTTGAATTCTTCTTTAACAAATCCTCAAGGAATCAAGGTAGCTTTAAGCACAAACCACAAAAAAAGGAAAAAAGAAATTTAGGTAGCCTAAAAAATTGTTAGATTGATATACATTTAGAACTCAGTTTCAGTTTCAATTGATTATAATAGTGGTAAGACAGAGTTTGGTCACACTGTGTAGTTCACGGTGCCCACGGCAAACCAAAATAGGCCTACATGTAATTTCCTAGAGTCTAGTAAGTGTAGTGTAACCAAAAATTCTCTACTACAGTAGTCTCCGCCTAAGATCCCAGTGCTCGGGAGCAAGGGAAATATGGGATCTTAGCCCGACGAAGCTAAGGAAGAATCTACAGTGACCCAAGAACTGACGTGACCCCTAGGTAGGTTTATGACATATGGCGAGCAAAGAGTGGTCATCCTTGATGACCAATCACAGTAGCATGGTGGCATGAGGTAAGCCATAATATTATACCGTACACTCATTAGCATATCGTCTCGAGATCTTTATCTACGTTTATCCAGTTGCCCCTCCCCTTTACCTGTCCAAAAATTGTAGCCTTCCATCTCTGATTGAGTCCCCCTGCCTTTGTCGTTATGTACCATTACGCTGTGACCACACCAATTGAAATTCAGGCTGTCTCGCAATTTCAGGAATAGAGAAAAACTGCCTTCAACTTCAATGGTCAGGGAAGAGTTCACAGTTCGATGTGATCCTACCTGGAACGAACTTGTAGGCCCAACCCACCCAGCGAGGAATGAAAGTTCAGGTGGTGAGCTCAGATGCAAGTGCGATGTTTCGGGAAAAGAAACGCCCATCGGTCAGTTCACACCTCGGTGTGATCCCGTCTGGGGATCATTGTACCGTTTCATGGAGTTTTACAGTGCATGTGATCACTTTCACAAGAGTGGCTGATCTTTGACGCGACGGGCAGTTCTTTAATCTCAACTTTTAACTCTTGGTTGATCGGCTGTGCCCACCTGGGTGTTTGTTCCGTAAATTATGATCGGAAATGTTGGCACTTATTCTTTCCTTAAGCTTCAAAAGTACTCAAAATGTACTTGAAAAGTACTCAAAAGTACTTTTATAAAAAGTATCGGAGTACAGTAAAAGTACTGGTTCTCAAAATGTACCGGAGTACAGTAAAAGTACCGAAAATTGTAACGTAAGTACAAGTACCGGAGTACTCCGGAGTACTTGTACTCCGTTACAACCAGCTCTGCCCCTGGATGGGTTTATGGCTTTCTACGAGCAAAGAGCGGGTAACCTTGCAACCTATCACAATGGAACAAGGCATGATATTTTTACTTTTCCTGTCATGAGTCTCAAGATCTACCCCAACCCAACTGCTTCTCCCCTTTCATCATCATCCGGTGCCTTACCGACTAGCTTAGGAGGTCAAGGACCTCCACTTCACTCTGCCTTGCATTGCAGCGATGGTGTCTGTTGTTCTTGCTGTTCCCAGCCGTGTTGTCAACCTGTCCAGTATCTTTTCCCCTCTGTCTGCTCCTGCTTCTCTTTCCATCAAACTTGCCTGTTATTACAATATTCACCAATGTTTCTTTCCGCATTGTGTGTTCAATGAACTTTGCCTGTTGCTTTTGTATTTCATCTTAAGCTGTTTCATCTCTTTACCTGTCCAAAATTATTACTTTCCATCTCCAACCAAGTTCCCCCGTCTCTGTCGTAAAGCACCATTGTGTAGCACCTCGGAGTAGGGACTACTGCAGTAATAGTCAGGGAAACAAAGGCACCGTGACCATAGAGTTCACAGTTCGATGTGACCCCGCCTGATGCGGACTTGTAGGTCTTATCCACCCAGCATGTGACATAAGTTTAGGTGGAAAGTAGTGGTGGGCGGTACCGGCGAAATCCAGTCTCGGTACTTTCTCGGCACCAGGTGCCGAGAACCGCCACTACCGGCACCGGTACTGGGAGTGACACCAGTAGGTGACGTCACAGACTTCGCGTCTTGCGTCTAACGCCATGATCAGCGCCGCCCGCACTCCCCCCCCTCCCACCACACCAGTCAGAATTGGAGAGGCAAACAGTGACGCAAAATACCTTTGAAGTTTGCCGTTGTGTGGAATTAAACTTTGCAAGCAGAATTTTTAAAATAGTCATCGCCGCTAAAAATTGATTTCATTTTCGGAATCAGTGTATCAAAATAAGCAAAGTGGCACGCGTGGAACCTGATTTGAAGCCATATTATAAATTTAAGCAAACTTCGTTTTTGATTGTAAATTTTGAATCTGAAGTCCTGTATCAAGGTCACCCGCTGCGTTGTGTGCATCTGACGTCACAGCTGCTAGACCTAGGCCTACACACTGCACACTTCCCGTTGCCCGGTAAGAAAAAAACAACCGTCGCATCGGCTCCTTCTCAGAGCCGGTATAACCGTTGGTGTCGGCTCCTTCCCAGAGCCGGTACTGGAGGCCAGGTGTCGGTACTGACACCTCCTTCGGTAGAACCGGGAGTTCCGGTACTGGGTACCGGTACCTGCCCATCCCTAGTGGAAAGCTCAGATGCAAGTGCCTCGTTTGGGAAAAACAAACGCATCTACAAGTTTACACCTGTGTGAGGCGCATCAACAAGTTTACACCTGTGTGGGGCGCATCAACAAGTTTACACTTGTGTGGGGCTAATATTGTACCTTTTATTGAGATTTACTACGGAACTTTGATCACATTCATTACAAATTTGCAAATTTGGTGGAATTGTTGCTTTTTTTCTCTCAATATTATGAAAATGCGATCGTAACTCCAATGATTTAGATTTTAAACTGTTTATTTGCCTTGTAATTTGTAGTCGCTCAGTTTCCACTTTTCTCTTAGAAAAACAATAGTTGAGTCAAAGCCAGAAGTAAGGCCAATATTAATTGTGGCATGACGCGGTGGAATCAGGCACTCGTCAGTTTTTGGGCATATGGAGCTATTGCTATCATCTTAAAGGTTATTCATTTGCTTTGCTTTCAATGAAAAATATATCCATTTATCTTGAATAGAAGTCAAGATATTTGCGATTGAAGGAGGTGGGGTCGCCTGGTTTCAGAAGTAAAATTAGAGAAAATGGCCGCAAAAGTTTGGTTACTTCCATAGCTTAAGAGTCCTTGGAAACTACAAATTTACATTTTTTGTGCCTTTAATCAATGTTTAATTCACACATTGAAGTGTTTTGAATGGACCTACAATCTGTTGAGCAAAAAAAACAAAATTTCGAAAAAAAATTCCAAACTGGCCAAAAAATGTCGATTTCTCGGATTCCATTATTTTGACGAGCGCCTGATTTCACCACGTTGCCTCTCAATTTGACAAGGTATTAAAAAATTCCTGTTTGTTTTTGCTTATTAGAGAATTTAAAAAGCAACACGCCTCCCCCCGGAACTAGTTTAGAACTTAACATTGGCCTGGCCTTGCAATATGGTGTAATGTGGTGCGCAGTCAGGATGTAAGGCTAGTGGTTATGTTTTTGCAAGAGTTAAGATGACAGCCAATAATGACACACACCTCTCCATTCTCTTTTTTTCTGTACTCAGCAATGACAATCTGGCAGAGACTTTTCATTATGCCTTTGTTTACGTAATATTCATCCTTCAACTGCAGTCCTCGATACCCCAGGCAATGGCACTATCCATGACAGTATCAATATTATGATTTTTACCTTGCATTTCTCTTTTCTTCTTCCTCACTCCATCATCTTTTAAAAAGAATTCCCCTTGAAAATGGTAACAAAATCCAGGAGAAAACCAGGGAAAAAAACAGGAATTTTCTGCCCTTGATGAATGGGAGCACCATTATTTAGTACATTTTTAAGCTTCAGTCTATTTATTGTAAGCTTCAGTCTATTTATTGTGGACTCTGAAATCTGAAACAAAGCTATGCGAAAAGTGCTTGTGGGAATTTATGGTTAGCACCATATAGCAGATGGTTGGTAGGCTTTTCTGGAATGGTATGCTCCTACTTCTTTCCATTGTTACTGCTGTCCTTATCTGTTTCTTTCATTTTTAGACTATTAGCATGCTGATACTTAAAGAACTGCTACTAATTTCAACTCAACAGTTCAGTGTACTTTTGTGTGACCATTGAAGCATACTTCACACTTTTGAAATTTTCAAAATGCCACTTTTCAATGTTATTTTGTGGAGGATGCCTCTGTTAGGCCCTACTTCTTTATCTTCCCCCTTTTGTTTCCCATTATATTTTCTTCATTTTCCCGCCCCCAAAATGGCTGTTGTGTTTGTTTTAACATCAATACAATTATAACTTTTGACAACTTTTCAAGCCTTCCATGAAGTGAAACAGCTGCTTAACAATTGAAATAGTCTACTCTGCCCTCTTGTTTCAGTTGAGTTCCCTGCAGTGCTGATGAGCACAGCAAATGGACAGATAGAAGCTGAGTTCCACCACTATGTGCAGCCTTCAGAACGACCCACACTCAGCAGTTTTTGCCAACAGCTAACAGGTATCTCTCAGGTACTGTGTCGTTGCTAGTGTTACTTTCATGTCTGCTCATGTAAAGTTTATGTACCCCAGAATTAGGAAAGCAACAGAAGGCGTTGTGATGGCTTCAGTGACTGTATTGAATTGCTTGTGAACAGAAGGAAAAAAATCCTTTCAGTTATTATGTGGACTCCTGCTGCTTTCTTTCAGCGTTATTGCACTCTAATCTGCATCTTACAAACACTCTACAGTTCAGTATTAACATCAGTTTGTGTAGACAGTGCTGAAAAATTATGAACGCTACGTATTTCCTTGTGTGACATACAGCTAACATCTCTGGAAACCTTGAATATTATTCAACCTCAGGACTTTTTCTCTGTGTCCATTGTTATGGGTGTTTATAATTTAAAATATACATTCACAACAATGGACACAGACCAGAGAAAAAGTCCTTAGATTGATGACCATCAACATTGTTGGCAGCTGTTTTTGGTATGCCATTTTTTAACATTGCCTCTTCTGTATCTTTGTCCTCTTTTGTATGATGAATGCTTTGCAAAGTGTCAAGACTTTTTTTTTTATTATTATGGGAAAAGATTATTAAATTGCTGTGTTCTTGAATGTCTTACTAAAACTAAACAACAACTCAATCGTTAGCAATTTTTTTCTCTCTGTTTCTATCTTCAGGCCCAGGTTGAGGATGGCATACCTGTGGCTGTATGTCTACGCAAGTTTGCGATGTGGCTGAGACGTCTACGAGAAGAGAAGGGCATTGTTTGTGCTGATGATGGAACAGCTGGAGGGGACAAGTGCACTTCTGGACAGAAAGTGGCTGCTCTGGTCACATGGTCAGGTGAGATTGCGGGAGCTTGTTCACTTCATTTGTCTGCAGTAATTTAAAACGGGGTATAGACAAATCGCCCTATATGATCTTCTCAGGTCTTTGCATGCAAGTTTAAAAGTTGGATGACCAACAGAATCTAAAAGTTCATTGATGGAGGCCGCTACAAGCTGAGGTTCTGACACATTTTCTTTGATGTGAGCCTGATGTGAGTAAAAATAATAGCATATACCTCTAAAACGTTAAAAAGTTGACATATTTTCATCAACACCACACTTTTACGCACACATATAATTAAGCACAGTACAATAGACGGGTGAGTACTTTTCAAGACTCATGTGGAGATGTCTAATAGTCTAAATAAATCCTGTGGTTGTTTGCAATGAGATGAGGGTCTGCTGTTTTGAAGAATATACTTTTGGGGTTGGAAGGGGTAGATGGACTTAGACATAACCTTCTTTCCTGTTCAACCCAGCTGACCTGTAAGAAGTGCTGTGCTTGTGAAAGATGCTCACTATGCTAAAGCTCATACTATTATTATTAATACCTATACAGGAGCTGTTCTTAACCATTTAACGCTTACAGCAGAGTTAGTAGTTAGTGGAGTCTATTGATTCACACTTAGAGCAGCGATGCGTCACATTTCAATCGCAAAATGTGCGACACTGTCATGGTATGCCTTTCTATGAGGTCTAGGAAGAATGTCCAATTAGAATTTACTGAAAACGAGGCAATAGAGCAAAAGTGGATTGGTTCTTATTTCTTTGAGTTTTTAAATGATCGAATAGACCCAGAAATAGTATGTGTGTGAATTTTTCAAATAAGTATGACAAAATGCAGGGTGCTATGGAGTTGAAACTCGGACAAATTCAAGGAGCCTTTGAAAATACATAAAAATTCCGCCCATGAAGTGATCTCGACCAATCAAAAACATGTTGAAAGTTCATTTCTTGATCTACTGTAATTTACTTTTAAGTCTTTAGAAGAGTTAGCTATTTTCTAACATGACAAAATAGATGGGTAATGAACGAAAACCCAATAGTCGCAATAGTGGTAGAAATAAATAACTTGCTCATACTACACCGCAGCCGAAACTGGCTCGTTGGAAGCATAATTCTTTTCCTAATATAGTTGCATGTTTTCCAGATCATTTTGTAAAGAATATTTTTTTAACGAATCTTTTAGAAACATAATATGTGTGACATTTTTAGAAGATATACTCCCTTTTCCAGGATTTCTGGGCATGTATCAAGGCAAAGCTCCAGGAGCTAAATGGTTAATGCTTACCTTATGTCCCCTGCCTAATCTTTTGTTCACCCGACCTCCTGATGTATCATATGGTATCCTTAACTAAACTTTGAGTTTCCAACTTTTGATTTGACCTTATATCAGACCTGCCACTCATTCCTATTTAATCGGGATATCCCCAAATCTCAAGCATCCTGGTTTTCCCGATTTCGATCATGTGTATCGCGAATTTGTTTTTTCCTTCTGTTGCGCCAGATTTTTCTAAAAACCTAATGTGCTTTCTTCTCTGTCGCGGGAAGCACCCGTTAAAATTTTTGTCAGCAGGGGCTTGGAGCACTATTTTCCGAAATATCGTCATTGATCCCAAGTTTTTTCTCCAAATCCCGATTTTTCCTCCCCAACTGATATCTTGATTTTTAGATTTTGTAATGTGACAGGCTTGTTATATGCATCAGTTTTTGTTTTTTTTTACTTATTTGAAAATGGAGAATCTGTTTTATAAAGTATCTTCTGTTAGAGTGCTGTAAAAATGATGCCAGGGGGGTAGACAGGCAGGCTTGAAGCAGCCAGCCTGTTTAATGATCTATATATTGTGTCGATGGGGGTGCAGAACATACAATAACTAACTGCTATTATGTTTGTCACTGAGAGTATTTTGAAATGGTTCATCTCATATTAGGTAAATAGTTTGTTTGGAAATAGGATGAAAAACAAAATATGTATCGCATCGTGGTGAAATCAGGTGCTCGTCAAAATAATGAAATTGAAGAAATTGATATTTTCCTACCCTTTTTATCAAATTTTTTCTTTTGGGCTCAACACTGCCGTCATTTGAAATAAATACACTAGCCCTTCTTTGCTGTTTTTTTTCAATTTTACAAGAGAGCCAAAAAAACCCAGATTATTATTGTTACCAAGAAAACAGACTCTCTGCAAAACATCCCAAGACAATACTTTTGAGAAAACAATTATGACAATAAATGTTGTTTAATTGGTAACAACATTCCGTTTGCTCTCCTGTTAAAAATTGTAAGAACTGCATATTGTATTTTTTAAAATGATGGCAGAATACCTTTTATGTCTGTTTAAAAACACATTCCTGTGTAAATTTTCTGAAAATCATTGATCAAAGGCATAAATGATGTAAATTTGCAGTTTCCAAGGATACTACAGCTTTGGAAGTCACCACACTTTGATGACAATTTTCTCGCTAAATTTTCCTTTGACACCATGCAATTCCCACCTCATTCAATTGTAAATATCTCAACCTCTATTCAAGATAGATGAGTTTTCTTTTTCACATAAAGCAAGGCAAATAAACAGGCTTTAAGATTCCACCAGTAACTCTTTATGCCCAACAACTGACCTCCACAATATGGACATTGTTGTAATGAGCTGCAATTCAGCTAAAATCTGCACTTTACGATATTACTCTGTGTAAAAAAAAAGACATTTGTGTTATGTGTGTGTATGTACGTGTGTGTGTGTGTGTGTGCGTGTGTGCATGCATATGTGTGTGTGTGTCCCAGTTCTGTGCCTGACCAGACTTATTTTCTTGGTTTCAGATTGGGATCTGGGAGTGTGCCTACTGTATGAGGCAAAAAGAAAACAGATAACTCGTCCTTCTGCCCTCAATAGATGGATTGACCTACGTCTCACCTACAGGGTTAGCGGAGCAGAGTTGAATAATGCTAGACCTATATTCCTCACCCAGTGCTTTATATGTGTTTACTTTGTTGTTACTTTTATTTTTTACGGGGAACAGGGTGAAACTTATCACGACAAATTACTATATGCTTTTTTTTGCTCTGCGTTATAGTTACTTTTAGTGGTAAACGGAGCAGGGTGAAATATATCACATTTAATCTGTGCTGCTTTACGATTACTTTTACTCTAATATTTTTTTAATATTGTTTTTCTTTTCTTGGGGACCACCTTCTGCCTCAAGTGTTTACTGGAGAGTGCCTCTGGAAGGCCCTATTTCCTTACCCTCCCTGCATTGCTTTTTCTTCTCTGTTCAGCTTTTTTGCAGCTTAAATGAAAGTTATCTTTTAGATCAAATGTTCATCTCTTTACATGGGACAGGGATCATGGTACATGTATTGTTCTCAGCTTGAAGTTGAGGTCCTGTGTTCACTGTAGCTGTTCAGTCAGTTCTGTATTGTGATTTTTCAAAGGGGTAGCTGAGTAAGACTGGAAAACACAACCACATCCATAAACATTGTAGCATGAGACGGCAGTTGATGAATTCCACCAAGTTGAAGGATTGGGAAAGGAAACAGATTACTAGACCTAATATTTATTTTAAAAATCTCAAATTTCAATGAAAATTGTCATAGAAGTTCAAGCAACTAATTTTTCTTATCACTACATTTGCTTGATTTGGGAGGCAAATTAGTAATTAGGTTCTTTGGCATGAGAGACAAGCATGTTACTCCTAAGCTCATAATCCTCAAGTCAAAGGACTGGAATTGAGGTTCTTGGGTCAGTTGAAATGTTTATATAGTGAGAAAGAAAGCAGGCATTGCTATAATTTATAATAAAGGGGATGGGCGGAGTGGAGGAGCAGGAAGTCAGAGAAAAAGCTGGGAGTTGGACATTGGAGATTGGTTTTGTAATATTGTAATGACTTGATTCTATTGAAAGCTCCGCAGCTCTTTCAGTTGTGATGTTATGTTTTCTTAGAGTTTCCTTGACTCCCTCGATCCACCTTTTGCGTGGCCTTCCTCTTCCTTTTTAGCCTGAGTGCTTGGTGTTGTAGGCTCTCAAGGCTGGTTGGTCAGGTGACATGCGTAACTGGCCAAACCATTTTATCCTCTGTCTTTCTATGTAACGTAGGCAGGACTCTTTTCATTTCTCTGCCTGTCTCGTCTTGTGATGTTAAGGGTTTTGCGGAGACATTTCATTTCGCATGCGGTGATTTTGCTTTCATGGGTTTTGCTTAAGGTCCAGGTCTGGCACTGATAACATAATGTTGGTATGAATATTGAAGTGATAAGCTGTCTCTTTGTGTCCATGGAGATGTTTGGATGAGATAGAAACAGCTGAATGCCTTTTCTTGTTACCTTCATCCCCCTCCCAATTTTTTTCAGAAAGACCTAAAAATTTTGACATGGGCAACCTCTCTAAACTGAAAATGTGGCGAAACAAAAGAAAATTCGGCCGGCCGGCCGGCAGACTTTGATTTTTGTGGACTCCACACTCCACTGTATAACTGATATAGATTTATACACATGTAGAACTTTTATATAAATATTGGTATTAATTGCTACAAAGGGTTGCATGGTTCCACCAAAACTTCCTTGTTTTTTACCGTTTGCTGTTAACATTTCTTTTTCAGAAATTTTACCAGCGGCGACCTGATGGACTGAATGGTGCTCTTCAGGACCTGGGTCTAATCTTTGATGGACGACAGCACTCAGGTGTGAATGTGTTCTTCTGTTACAATTGGCTGAATGTGAACAGGGAAGTCAAGGGACTGGAACAATGGAAAGAAGGAAGGAGAGGGAGTGAACTGGAATGATGTTTTTATTTTAGGGCTACTTTTTTTTACTATACTTTTACTTTACTTTTCTAATCTGAATTCTTCATGTTATCTTTCCATTTCATGTCCATCAAAATCATTATCTCTCACAAGAACTTTTTTATCTTTGCATAGATTGAACTTTTACACTTTGTCTGAGGACAGACTGGTTTTAACTCTTTTTACCATTTGACCGCTTAGAGCAGGTTTGAGACCAACTTGTTCTAATAATGACTGACCCAGACCACAGCCTCTTCAAACAGGGAACACTATGGAAAGGTTAATAATAAATGAAAAACACAAGGATATCTCAGAACAGTGGCTGTCAGTACAGGGGATTGCAATGGAGAGGTGACCACAAATGCAAGTTGGACTGTTTTTCTTTAACAAACAGGCTGCAATGCCATGAGTCCTCCGAGTGATTGAGGTGGTAAATAAGGATAAACAAACAGGTTATTCAGGCTATTTTGAGAGCCTTTGCAGAGACACTGGGCTACAAATAATGCCTTTTAGAAATACTACATTGCCCTCCTCTTTCTTAAAAAACACAGGAGTTGATGATGCCAGGAACACGGCCCGTGTGGCGTGGAGAATGATCTGTGATGGCTGTCAGCTACTCATCACCAAGACTCTGAAGACGGTACGCAGACACTCTCCTTAGCAAAATGCTGTAAGATCTGCTCTTCCTGTTTTCTGTCAGATCATGGTCAAGGGTTGCATTTGTCACAAATGTTTATGTGTTATATTTCTTTATTTTCAATTTAACCATTGAGTTGTGATTGTTTTTATAAATCCAATTTCTGGTACTAACATTTTATAGGAAGGGTGTTCTTACCAAAGTTAGATTCTTGTGTAGAGCAGAATTTTAGAGTATCCCTGTGTCAGTGGGGTAAATCACCTCCATTTTTATTTTTGGTGTAATTTTAAAGTTTTTTTCTTGCCTGCCTCTTGTACTCTTGTGATGATGAGATGGATGAAGGAGCTGTAGCTTTTGCCTCTTTTCTAGTTCTGCATCAGAACAATAAAACTAGACAAATTTTTTGAAAAATTTTGCTAAAATTTTGAGCAAAAAGCCAATTCCACTTTGATAAGGGATTTGATATATATTCTCCTCAGCTCAATCTCAATAGCAGGACACTGCATTCTGTGCATGTAATTGACCCATCTCTATAGCGCTTGAGCTGATGAACAAAATTTGTTGAAACTTGACATTTTGATAAAGATAATTTTCATTACATTGCTTTTGATGTTCAAGAAAGTCAGAGTATCCTTACAACAAATTGAAAATGTCCATAGCTGAGGTGTGTCAAAAGCAAAATAATAAAATTGTTGGGATTCTCTTGGAAAGAGCTGAAAATTTTTTTAAACTTTGTAACAATTTAATTTGGCTTTGTCATCAATACTTTCCCACTTCTCTTTTGCCCCTATTTTGACAGACTCCAGATGGATCAATGCAAAGAGTTTCCACACCACTGTCTACACAACATACCGGAAGCTTCCACAGCTCCCCAGCACATCAGACTGTACTTGAAATCCACAGTATGTCAAAGTCATCTGAGACTAAGAGCTGTTTATTCCATATAGCAGAGGACGTGAACTCCTCTCTGTCGTCATCAAAGCCTGTCCAGGAGATTACCAGGAGGCCAGGTCTAAAAATGAGAGATTCAAATGTTTCTGTATGTGGAACAAAAAGAAATGAGAAGGACACAGGCAAACTGAACCCTAAAGTAACCTTACCTTCTGTGTCTCAGTGTCCAAATCATCAAGAGGAGATGAGGTCTGCTCCTCGTAAGAACATACCATTCACTAGAATTTTGTGTAATAATCAAAAGGGTAAGAAGAGTAAAATTCCAGTTCTACAAGTCAAAGGTGGGGAGAAATCTCCTTTGCACTCAGTCGAGCACAGAATAGTCATACCATCATCATCAGTGTCTCGAAGTGGCCATTCAGAGATGTCAGACAAGTCATCATGTCTTGGTCCTCCGTCAACGCTGAAAACACCAGCATCATGCCACTCGGCGTCAGGGTCATCTCGTCTGCTGTCACCATGTTCAGTGACATCAGTTTCCACCAGTCTTTCCACACCTCTCCTTTCAATATCATCATCATCGTTTTCAACAAAAGCCTCATTGAGTCACATTAAAGCAACATCAGAAAAGTTTTCACCCCATCAAACAGCTCCAACGCCAGTGAAATTTTCACCAGACCACTCAGCAGCCGTGTCAACAAAGCATCTTACTGTTAACCTGTCACACTTTGATCCAACAAAATCTGACTTGTCAATAGTATCAGATGATGCTTGTTGTGGAAACCAAAGCAGTAGTGACCCGTCAATGTCACACACTTTTCCATCTCGCCACTTAGTTCCCCATGAACCACCATTCACCGTTAACAGTGAATCTGCCTTTGCTGTCAACTGTCAGGCTTTATCACATCTTTCTCAAAACTTACAAACACCATCTTGTTCTAGTATCCAGCCCCACTCGTGCCTTCTTATGGCTTGCAGATCTCCTCATGTTTTGAATCGTGAGTCTGCCAAAGCTACTAGCTGCCGGACTACACCACCTGTTTGTACTGACAAACAAACAGTGTCCTCTGTTAGTAATGTGGACACTGTATCTTTACTGTGTGAACCAACAGCCAGTGTCCTCAATGGTCAAACAAATGAAGTCATAGTCTCTTCACAGGCAGTGACCGTCAAATCAGTGACAAGTAATTTTACTACTCCAGTATGTGGTGGCCGGATTGCTTCACATCAGACAGACTCAAAGTCTAGAGGTCAAACTATCTCTAGACTCACAGATCAGACAACACCAGTGACCAATGGCATTTCTCCACCAAGCAGAACAAATTCAGGGGTCAGAAGTCACACTCACACAAGCAAAGTTCAGCTCAGAATGACTTCCACCACCACCACGCCAACAAGTTTTCATGATTTCTCCACACCTACCTGTAGAACCGCCCCTGTGTGTACTGTTGGATCTGCAATGAGTGCTGAACTGAATAAAAGCAGATTGTCAGCAACCAGCATGCGAGCCACCCCACCCCTGTGTACGTGTGGGCGGCGGTCAAAGCGACGGCTGGTCCAGAAACAGGGACCCAATACGGGACGCTGGTTTTTCTCCTGTTCAATGAGCTTTGCTAACTCAAACTGCCCAGGGAGAAAATCTGGCTGTAAGTTTTTCCAGTGGGAGACACCCTCTCGATGAACCAGCCGTAGGGACAATCATGAATTATGATGAGCTATGAGTTTTCTGGTGTGGTCTGCTCCTTCTTTCTTATAAAAAATCTGTCTTCCTTATCTTTCGTCCTTCTTTTTGTGTTTGTTACTCTCTAGTAACACCTCTAATCTTTAGGACTTATATGACCTTACTGTGTTGCAAGTGCCGAAAATGCTTATTGAAACTAAAGAACTACTTAGTTTCCCTTGTGAAGTCTTCCAAATAAGGAGGGATAGAGGGAGGAAGAAAGGAAAGGAAGGCCTGTTGAGAGATTAGGGAAAAGGAACAAAAGTCAAGATTAAGTATTATTAAAACAATTTGATGACTGTTTCTCTTAGCGTTCCTGCTTCCCCTAGTTGAAAGAAGATGCCTCTTGACAGTCATAGCTAAAACAGTTTCTGTGATGTGGCAGTTATGCTGTCTGACTTACACCTACAGAGTTTTTAAACAAAAATCTCTAACTTGACAACAAAAGGGTTGCATCTCTTTGAGAGAGAGAGAGAGTTTTTTATGGAGCGGGGTTGTTTCAGCAAGTAAAAAAGTATTGATTATTAATGTCCTTTCTCGTTGTGTGTATGTGTAGATCTAAGTGCACCTAACCTTTGTAACTTCCACCACCATTGTAAATAACCTAGACAAATTTTTCCTTGTGAGATGAATAAAGATCGTCATTGATATTGAAGCTAACATTTCTGTGAATCAGTATGGAAATAGTGCACACTATCACAAACATAACAGTTGCTGCAGTTGGTGTGTTGGTACCTTAAAATCATGCACAAGTTAAGTTCTCTGATTTTAAATCACTTCAATAAGTTCAATTCAACTAAATTGTAACATGCAATGGAGTCCAGAGTGAACACGCTGTATTTGAACAATCGGTTAAAGTGAACAATATTCTGTGGGCCCAATTGAAACGCTACTTGTTTAACCTTATCCGTACACCCTGGGGTCATTTTGTACCCCCGGGATTGTATTCTTCACATTTTAGAATACATGTACTTGTAATACGAAGACCTCTTTGAAACTTTCAGTATTTCTCAAAAAATCGTTTTGACAGACAGCTATGCAAAGCGTGCGGATCGGATTAACGAATAAATGTCCTCTTTGGAAAGTGGTGGCACAGAGTTCCCCACATTGTATGGATACGATAGTAAAAAACGGCGTACGGATAGGGTTAAGTAAAAAAAATAGTGGATAAAATGAACCTGTTTCATGGGGAAATCAGATAAAGTGAACGCCCAAAATGAGTGAAAGGGAAGAACGGACCGACCGTGTCACCGTCGCCATGCTGTGAAAATAAAATTCTTTGCCTCGCGCATCGGCAGACAATCCCTGCTCGGCGACGGCAATCTCAATCAGAAAGAAAGGGCTCTAGTCTAGGCTCGCCCGCTGTGTTGTCCCCCCTCCCCACCTCCTTCCTAGACCCACCCCTGTGCATAGCTACTGTTTCTAGGCGTCCACCCTACCAAAATGGTTAAACTGAACCTAGGGTAAAGTGAACACTTTCTTCTGGTCCCGAAGAGTTCTCTGCGGATTCCACTGTAAGACTTTAATGTTTTATTGTCTTAAAATTTGTCTTTTATGTTTGATTCGTTAGTCTTACTAATCTTTCATGGAAAGTATTTCATCTCTCTGTGTGCTCCTATAATAATTATTATCTTTTAAATATATTTTAGATTTGAGAAAAACAATTGTCTTAAAGATTGATATTAGACTTTTGACATTTACGTTTAGTAGAGATGGAAGGAGGTTTTTAACATAGTGTTGGTTTTTAACATGCTATTGGGTTCTCTTAATCATTAATCATCGATGAATACTCATGTGCTGCTTGTTTTAAGTAGACACTGCTAAGTTATTAAAACCCATTCTTCTTTAGTTTTTCATCTGGTTCATCGAAGCGAATAGCTGTTTTGCATACTCATGCGAGTCATAATTTTCTTAGGACAAGATAAGATAGAATAATACTTTATTATCCCAGAGGGAAATATTTCTTGGCTGTACAGGACCGTGATAGATGCACTACGAAAGGAGCAGGTCACAGTAGAGGGAAATGTACCAGAAGATGTCGAATCATTCTACTATCTTGGGAGTATAATTGACACATAGGGAGGAGCTGGCACTGAAATAAAGTCCCGCATTGGATAGGCACAGACTGCATTTAATTCTTTGAACAGGATTTGGAGGAACAGGGATATCTCACTACAAAGCTGAGGATTTTCAACTCAAATGTGAAGACAGTCTTGTTGTTATCAGCATTATCATCACCACCATCATCATCATCATTGTATAAAGCAGATATTAAAACAGATAAGAACTGGTAGTATTTCCAAAAAAATGTTATCCAAAGTTCAACGTTTCGCCCTCAGCGGGCTTCGTCAGGAACATTCACTAAATGACAAGAATCTAGATCTACACATGCTGTAAAAACTAAAGTGCGTACATACATGTCACAACACTTAAAGGAGCGATGAGAACAAATCGCAAAGGCCAGAGAGAAGGGAACACTAAGGCCCGAAGTGGTAGATAGAGAGGGGGGGGGGAACAGGTGCGTGGAGGTAAGGAATATAATCATCATTATCATCATAATGTCTTTTAGTGTTAAGTGTACGGCGTTTGATAACTCGGTATTCGTATTCTACCAGTAAAAATACCTGTACAATGTGGACTTTGTTGCGTTTGTCCCGAGTGGGAACTCTACTAACGTACACTGATGACCTGAGTATGAGTGAGCGCATCTGTGTCCATGTTTGAATCTCTTGCTACATGAAACTAGGTGTAAGTAGGAGTATTTCTTTGGTACAACTGCAACGTGAAAACTAGACCACAGACAGCTTTGGACGGCCTTGGAAAGAATGTAGTTTGGATTCCGCGAGAAACGCAGTGCCGCTTCTCACTGGCGCGTCCTCAATGACAGCTTTTATATTCTATGTGGGGCGCAACGGTTTTCATTTAGGGATTCTTTTAATTTCACTGCCTCGGGCAGTGCAGTTATGTGAGCCTGTGCTTACGCTTTATCTATGTTGTCACCCTAAGGTTATATGAGCGCACGGGATACACCAAACATTTTCAATCGGTAGGAAATATTGAATTTTACCCGGGTGGCTGCCGAAGCCTACTCTTTATGGATTTTGGACCACCAAGGGATCTTTAACGTGCGCAACTTGCACATATGACCTCCGAGATTTTTCTCCCTTGTCCGAGAAGGCTAAGTGTAGATCTTGCCTACCAGAAGATCAGGGGTGTGGCTGAAAGACAGCAGTAAGAAAAAGCCAAGGAGTAGCAGTAGAAAAGCTGCAGAAAGAGTCAATTCAGTCAGGAGTCCAGTGGAGGGGGGAAAGGAGGATGTGGGAAAGAAATGGAGACGAAAGCAGGCGACAGAATACATGTATTGCAAGAGAGAAGGAAAGAACGTGAAAGGAGACAATTTTAGAGAACATTTTTCGGTCTCTACCCGGATTCGAACCCGGAACCTTTGAATGAGAGCCGGACCACTTGACCTCTAGATAGTATCATACAATTTTTTTTTCAATTGAAAATTATAATGCACGTAGTATTTCAAATTTTATGCAAAATAAACAAATCAATACCGGTATACCAAATGTTTAATTGTGTAATGTTTATTTCTACTGATGTATGATACATAACACAGTACTAGTAACAGTTACATTGTATTTCCTAAAATAAAGTGCGTTGAATCTATTACTTTCATTAGTACATGTATTACTATTTCATTAGTCAGTTCGTTTTGCACATGTCTGTCGGTCTGCCTGTCTGTCTGTCTGTCTGTCTGTCTGTCTGTCTGTTTCTCTCTGTCTGTCGATCTCTCTACTCCCTGTTTCTCTCTCTCTCTCTCTCTCTCTCTCTCTCTCTCTCTCTCTCTCTCTCTCTGTCTCTCTGTCTCCCCCCTCCCTCTCTCTCTGCGTGCGTGGCATGTGTGTGTGTGTATGTATGTGTGTGTGTGTGTGTTTTAGTTAGACCAATCCAAGTCCCACAGAAGTCAAGCTTCAGCCTTCAGATTTCTTTGAGTTGGTAGGGTTCGAACCTCCTTCGAAGAAAAAACAAAACAAAAACAAACAAAAAAATTATGACCTTATTGGGTCAAAGGTAAAGTACTTACTTTACTTTTACTTTTTCATCTTCTGTTACCGTTAAGCGTCGAGGGGAGATGCAGTTTTCTATGGTAGGCCAGCTCCGCAGCTCTTTCAGTTGTGATGTTATGTTTTCTTAGAGTTTCCGAGACTCCCTCGATCCACCTTTTGCGTGGCCTTCCTCTTCCTTTTTAGCCTGAGTGCTTGGTGTTGTAGGCTCTCAAGGCTGGTTGGTCAGGTGATATGCGTAACAGATGGCCAAACCATTTTATCCTCTGTCTTTCTATGTAACGCAGGCAGGACTCAGTGCCGATAGCTGCTCTTACTTCTTCATTTCTCTGCCTGTCTCGTCTTGTGATGTTAAGGGTTTTGCGGAGACATTTCATTTCGCATGCGGTGATTTTGCTTTCATGAGTTTTGCTTAAGGTCCAGGTCTGGCACTGATAACATAATGTTGGTATGAATATTGAAGTGATAAGCTGTCTCTTTGTGTCCATGGAGATGTTTGGATGAGATAGAAGGGGTGCGAGCTGGTAGGTGACAGCGTTGGCTTTTTGAGTTCGCATTTCTATTTCTCTGTCTATGGACCCGTTTTCAGAAAAAGTGCTGCCAAGATATTTAAACTCTTTCACCTGTTTCAGTTGTTTACTATTGACATGGATGTTCAGGGGACTATGGTTTCGGCTCACCTTCATAACTTCTGTTTTTGATGTGCTTATTTTCATGTTGAATTTCTCACAAGTGTTGTTGAGTTCGTTAGTGTGATTTTGGAGGTTTTGTTGGTCATGATGAATTAGACATCGGTCGTCTGCAAACAGAAATTCATTTAGGTTTTCTGGGCTTTGGTTTGCTTCTTGCGTTATTGTGTCCATATATATTATAAACAGGAGGGGAGATAGAATGCATCCCTGTCGTACTCCAGATCTTACTTTGAACCAGTCTGTATTTCCTTCCTTCGTTCTTACTGAGCTTCTGCTGTTGGTATATATAGAGCTCTGACATTATCTAACA